ATGCTCAGAGCGAATTCTGGACACAGTGGAGTAATGGACTGCAGTCAGATGAGCAATCTGTCTGACAGAATGACCTTGATCAAGCAGGGAGAGAATGTGGGCAGTCTGAGTAGCAGAAACCTTTTTCATGATGGTTGTACTGAAGTTGAACAGTCTGTTGAGTGTTGATCAACTCATGTTGAAGTTCAACAAAGATCACATGATCCAAACTTTAAACCTTAAAGCAAACAAACTTCTGCAAGGGGGTATTTTTGTCTTCAGAGTTGTCAGCCACAAAACTGTTGCAATGCATCTTTTGTAAAGAATATTTTGTATCTCACCAACCAGAAGGCCGATTTACTTCATCCAAGTGCCATTTGAAAGCTCATATCATAGGCTTTCTAACGATATATATGTTTGCATATTTAACTATTTTGGTTTCCGAGATATAAGCCAAACAATGCAACTGTTGCAAACATTGCAACAGTTTTGTGGCTCACTGTAAGTGTCCGTAGAAAGTGGATATCCATTCATCACCGCTTCAACCTGCCATGATGAGAAACTACTTGAACGGCAATTGAGATATAGCTGCTGATGCAATAGCGACCAGGGTGAAGTTACTCGTAGGGACTACGCGAGGTCGTGACGTGTGATCGTTGTATGCCTTTGCGAATAGAGATGGATTGCCGTTCAAGTTGTACACTATTTCTGGGTCCAATATGCGAATATGAGGAGATATAACTATTTTTGATCTGAAAGTCGGCGACATACTGTCATTATATTTTGCAAGTTGTGTGCGACAGACATGGGAGGCATGGGTCCATGGTAGGCGATGCAATTTGTAACAAATGTGATTAGAAAAGTTGTTGTATCTTGGCAAAGGACCTGTGAGGGGGACGTACTATGTGATAGAGTCGGAATCCGATGGCACATAATGCTGCGTAAATAAACTTGTTACAGTATTTAAAGTGTCACTAACGATTATGGTAAAACGACATGTATCAATTTGACGATGTAATAAACACGTACGGTATCTTAGAAGATGACACCATGAATGACCCACGTACGGTAAGCGTTGGTATGCAGACTGGAGATTTGTCAACGCGTTATAGTGGCCAACACGGAGTCAAACCTGGAACGTCACTGAATGGAAGCGCCGCGGGGCAAACGCCAAACTAATCCTTCGGCAATTCGTGCCCGCGAAGCTGACACTGCGTACGCGTGCATCAGTACGCGATTCCATTATGACCCGCTGATACTTCGGCACCCTACTCTATTGCTGATGAACGTTTGAACTCTATGTTGCGCATCTTGATAAGGATGGAAGCTACAGTCCTGCAGCGTAGAGCACACGGCCACCACCTGCGCGCGGTTCTTGTCTTTGGTCAGCTCCCTTGGTCTGCGGAGATCGTCTCACCCTTGTCCGACTGGCCAGCGGTGCGCATGGCGAACGTACTCCCCAACAAAGCTAGTCATGTGTCTGGCCTTGGGCCGTACGCAGCACGTTCATCAGCTGTCCAGTGCCTTCGGCGCGTCTCTTCGGAAACCTACATTAATCTCCTTGGAAGAAGTGCTTCTTCCTGGTCGAGACCCACCCTTATGCCGGGGCAAGATGCGCGACGCCGCATCCCTCAGCCTGCACCCTCCCACCACACTGAACTCGGTCGTCTCAGGGCGTCCTGCACTCTAACCACGCTCATCTAGTATCCTGATTGGGATTGACAGGTCTGCTCCTTTTCATCCAAGGAAACGGCACGCTAAGGCGTTTGGGTTCGGGACTCGCAAGCTCGCCATGGGTGTTCCACATTCCAGTAAGGTAGCGTCAAACCCGACTCAGTATGCTACCCTCATTGGTGAAAGGAGCCGAGACGGCGAGAACTACCGTCAGTATGACTATGTCGTCGTAGGAGGAGGTATGTTGAGTCACTATGTTTCCTGCTCATGGTTCGACGACACGAGTTCACCTACAGGCACTGCCGGATGCGTTCTCGCTTCGCGGTTGTCCGAGGACCGGAACTCGACAGTATTGCTCCTTGAAGCTGGGAGAAGGTGGGATGTCATTGGGCAGGAACGTTCTCCGAGGACATATGGCTGATCAAGCCGTGTCGCCACAGTCATGAAGGCAACTTGCTATCGCGCATCCCGCTGGCGTACACGAAGATGTTCAAGACGGCCGTTGACTGGGACTTTCAAACGACGTAGGCAACTGTATTGGCACGATCGTTGACTGTAGTCCTGAATTCTGCATAGGCCACAAGAGGCGATGTCAGGGAAACAAGTCTATTGGCCTCAGGTAAAGATTCTCGGAGGGACGAGGTTTGTTGCAACTCTCTATTGTCTTGTTACTGATTCCGACCATTGGCAGTGCGATCAACTCTCTCGTTCACCAGTACTGCGCCAAGGAAAGTGCGTGTGGGAAACTGTGCACGTCCCCTGTTTCCTGATCTGATGCGCAGATTTCGACGAATGGGTCAAGCTTGGCGGAGAGGGATGGAGCTTCGATGACCACAAGGCTGAGAATTACACTGCGAGCGCGCAGTTTCCGAACAAGAACAGCCACGGAACAAATGGTCCACTACACGTCGGATATGCCACTGGAGCGGCGGTAAGTGGACTCCGCAAATCCCAGGAATACTCGACCCCAAGGGCCAACGTCAGTACCCTCGCTAATGTAATCCGCATCATGCTGATGGTCCGAGACAGGGAACTCGACGGCTGTGGCGTACCTGACCAATGGCGTCCTCTCCCGACCGAAGCTCATCGTCGGCGTCAACGTCGAAGTGGAAAAGATAATTTTCTCGCAGGAACAAGACTCTACAACGCGTGCGATCGGAGTAGAACTGTCCACCGCCGCAGATGGACCTCGCTACCGAGTGAACGCCACTCGCGAGGTCATACTCAGCGCCGGCTTCATCTCGACTCCGCAAATCCTGATGCTCTCCGGCATTGGACCTGCAGAGGGGCTCAGTCGCTTCAACATCCCCGTCGTTAAGGAGCTGCCCGCAGTGGGCCGAAATATGTCAGACGTGCGTTCTTCATGGACTTCGAGATGTTCTCGGCAGACTGACACAGACGTTCAGCACATTTCGTGTGGTCCCCTTCGCTTCAGAGCCAAGCCCGCGTACACATGGGATCGATACAACGCCACGTTTTCAGGTGCGGTGGCTATGATGAAGTGGCTGTTAACGGGCAAAGGCCCTCTATCCTCCATGGGGACGTCGATGGCCGCGTTCATACGCTCCGATGATCGAAGGTTGGTCTTGCGGTGCTCTTAAGGACAAGAACTTGCGCTCACGAACCGCTCAGCTTACCGTTCGGATCAAAGGCCTCCGAGAACCTCCCAGTCAAGGATCTGACGTCCGGCCCTAATACACCTGACATCGAGCTGGTCTGGGCGCCTTTTGTCTTCGTCAACTTCGGGTTCACCCCTCCGCCTCCTGGAGCGTCTGGCATAACAACAGTGCGTGATACGTTTGCTGGATTCCGGTACGTGTGTCTTACTTGCTTTATAGAGCGCTGTCGCGTTGAGGCCGGAGAGCACTGGTACCATTACCCTGCGGTCCGGCAGCGTATGGGACAAACCTCTTATCGATGGAAAGTAGGTGTAGCCCAACCGCCATTTGATTCAATGATACTCATCCGCTCGTGTAGTTACTTTGCCTCGAAAAGCGACATGAATATCGTCGTGCGCGGCACGAGGCTCCTCATGCGCATGGCGCGCACGGAGCCGCTCGCGTCCGTGCTGGACCTGAAGGCGCACTCGACAGACAAGGACGACATATTCTGGCCAGGAGACGCGGACCCAGACAAGGTTTTTTATTTCTTCCGAGGTTTCACGCTGGGTTTGCTGAGACGATCGGCGCAGATCACCGATGAGGAGTTGAAGGAGTGGATAAGCGGCAACGCCTCGCCTTTCTTCCATCCGGTACGTCCACGTCCATCTCATCGCTTGTTGACCAGTGTAGTTCTCAACCATGCTGACGTTGTCCGGACAGGTGTCGACGGCGAGGATGGGGCGGAGCGCGGAGACGAGCGTGGTCGATGCGAAACTGGGCATGCACGGCGTCGCCGGTCTGCGCGTCGTGGATGCCTCTGTGTTCCCATCTCAGCTGTCTGGACATCCCGCGGCGGCGGTCATCGCGGTCGTCGAGAAGGCTGCGGACATGATTTGGAGCGAGATAGGCTCGTGAAACGAGCACTTCATTCTTGAACTTTCCTACTGGACACGGCTAGTATTTCTCTTGTAGTGTCTGTTAGTTGTTTGTGTCTCGTTTGTGCGTCGCTATTTTCGTGGTTTTCGTCATGTAATGCTATGTGGTGAGACGTTGCTTGCATACCCATTCTGCTTGCGCTCATGTCGACTTGCTGACCCGCAGTCGGCAGTAGGACTCCGAGTTGTGTCGGCGTTCATCAACGCGATCACGTGATGAAAACGCGGTCACGAAGTCGCGCCTGTGGCGTCGACTGTAATCGATCAGGCAATGGCCCTGGGTTCCTCGGCGGAACAGGTACCGCTACTCCCGTACTTTTATTTTGGACATCTTCTTCAATTTGGCGTGAGGTGAAAACGTTGCATCAGTTCCTGAAATGATTCTAAGCAAATTGTATGGACTTCTTCCAAGAGCCCGACAGTCTCAAAGGCGAAATATAATCGCATAGCTGACAAGCGTGACTGATACAAATTGAACGTTAAATAAACAACCTATAACACCATATATTATCGAGAATTTAACGATAGGTCTAAACTGCGATAATATCCAGCTACGATCTGATTCTTGCGTCGAGTTCGCGCTCTACCTGCTGGCGCTGCAGGGCAGGCGGCTTTAAGACAGTTTTGGCTAGTCCGTCCAGCATTTTCTTGTCCAGTGCATTCACTCTTTGAGGCACGCCTAGTGCGGCAAGCTTCAGCGCGAGAGCGTGAGGTATCGACTGGTTGCTAAAATCAGCATTCTCTATCGCGAATTTCTCATTGAAAGTGACATCAAAGATGATTCTATCCGCAGTACTGGCTGCCATAACGCACGTCAAACCGTGCTGCACCATTGCGACCTAAAAGCAGGCGGGCTTGTCAGGCTCGAGACCATGAAAGATGACTGGGAAAATGAACGGTCTCAGCGCCTTTTAGCAAATAATTCAATGCAAAGATCATGCCCGGTGTTGCACTGGACGTCAACGAGTCATCAGGCAAGAGAAAATGGAATGAAAAGGGATGCACAGAACAAACGATGATAACACCATCAGTCTATTAAATCGACCGAAAGGCCGTGCTTGCGGCCAGATTGCTCTATCAGATACCGCAAGCCGGATGTTACTAGAGTGCCGTGAATCTCTGCCAGGGACCATGGGTGAAACTCAGTACAGTAGTGAACGGTGATAATCTTGAAAGTCGGCATCAGTGGCGTGCCCGGAGATTTTGGTTCTATTCCGTAATTCTACTATCAATTCCAGCATTGGAAATGTGCCATAACTGACTACATCCTCTTGCATCTTCTACGAGATCTCATATCAATGCCAATGCACAACAGCAGCAAGATATGCCCTACGCATCTTCAGACATTATCACCACCAGTCGGTACTAGCTTCACGGTGTCCGACTCCACACAGATGTCCCTAGTCACGGTAATACCAGAAGAGGCTCTGCAACGGATTGATGTACTCAACGTCAGAGTTCAGAGTTGTAGGTGAGAGACTCACTCATTCGGAGCATGTACAGGATAAAGTGCGATCTCGTGGTCAGCCGCAGTGGTGCTTGCTGCTTCGAATCGTCTGAAACGCGTCACGTTACCGGTGGAGACGTAACTTCAAACCCCACGGTAATTATCAGTATCGTGATGTGCAATCTATACATGTGAACGCGTACACGTGTCCCGATCTCGCAGTCATGTAGAGTTGGCGGTGTAGACGAGTGGCACATATCACCCTGCACGCTGTGAATCAGTCATACTACATGGTAGAGCAGAATATTTACTCACAACATCAGATCTAAGGCGTGACCTAAATGTCAGGATAACCCTTATAAAAAGACACCATTACGCACATGTGGGTATTTGAAGCATCTAGTAAATGAATCAGTATTGCCACTGATGAAGTAGCAATCATGTCACACCATATCCATAGGAACTGTAGACATGAGCTGTGTCAGTGCTGCAGCCATTTCGAATGACATTGATCTAGATATCTCACTGTTGAGATCGAGACATATGAGCACCTTTGTAGTGGCTCAGAGTTGCTCTTTGATCGCCTATCTATAATCGAATGATCACATACCACAAGAGGAATGTAGGCCGCCATTGCAGATGCTATCCAGACCACTCCCTGCTCCGAATATCTTGATCACTTGGTCTCGCAGAATAGGAAGTCAGAAACGCACCTGTCGCCAAATAAGTTCCCAGAGACTCCCCGATCCTCTATTCCTCCATATGCCAATGATCATGAGGATGAGAAGGAAGGTATCGGAAGCAAATGCTGCAACAATATTTATCTTCCCGCGACCAATCTCAACCTCGAAGCAATATTTGGCCGCAACATCCCACTGCGTCCGAGGACCCTATCGGCAATTGCGATCTGTCGGCATTACGTCACATGTTAGCGTAAACGTGCATACCTTTGCGACACCTACATGTATGTCAATGATGATAAAATGGACCCGTATACTGAGGAATGACCTACCATATATCAGACATCCAACGTTCACGAGGAAGATTGTGACGGCAAGAACAGTGATGTAAGGGTTCTTGAACCAAATGGCCACACTTTGCCCGCACTAAGCCCATATCTCAAGGAGGTTCAAATAAGGCTTACACTCGAAGGACAATGATAAGTGATGCAGCGGCCAGCGCGATGAAACTAGAGACCTGCACGGTCTGATGATGGTCACGACACCCTGAATCATCTACTAAATGAGATACTGACCAGGACGACATGAGTCAACGCCTGAAACAATGATTTAGCATCGGACGCAAGGAACTATGCAATATGCAATACTGACACTACAGTTGACATCGGTAATGATATTCATAATGATAATATCAGTGATCACGACAAACAGAGTGGCGAAACGGCATAGAAGGTATGCCTTCGGAAGATTGTAAAGCTGTCACTGCATTCTGAGTTCGGATGGGTGCTCACCGCGGCTGGCAGGGTTATTTTGTCTCGCAAGACCCTCCAATCGAAGCCCAGATTGGTAACCCATTCCCACCTAACAAGATTTAGCTGTACAGAGAGAGATAGATTTGAATGAAAGCTCACAGATAGATAGCATCGACCACGTAGGATAATTTGACAAATGCAGCTACTCCCGACATGCAATCAGTGAAGCCGCATGAACGGCAGCGGAATGTACTCACTAAGCTCGGAAGCGATTACTGCAGGATCTTGCCAATTGACCATGATTAGGTGGGTGCAGCGGAGAAAAGTCTTCAGTGGGCCGTAGCTCTGTAGGATCTTCTGCAATATATAGTTCGAGCGGTGTCTCCGAGGATTCGGCATATCTTTTGTATGCACTGCTCATCATATCAAGGAATACATCTGAAACATTAGCCGGACCATACTGAAGCGTTATCACCGTGTCTCTATCCCGTTGTTCTCCAAGCGAGACACTATTTCTGAAGCCAATGTGCGAATATCGAGACAGATACACATATTTTTGATCTGAAAGGTAGGCGACGTACCGTCCTTACTTGTTGCGACTTGTGCGCCACAGGCACGGGAGACATGGGCCCATGGTAGACCATGCTACATCCGCAACAAAGGTGATTAGATGGACGTGTCTTGGTTGGAGTGCTCACAAATCGATCTTTTCACAAATTTTGACTTGTATACTCGTACATCCAAGACAATGAGGGAAGATTTGTCCCCGCGTTATCTGAATGCCTTTAATCATGACTGAATTCTCGGAGGACTTGACAATTTGCGTAGGCTTTGACTTACCGAATGAGCATCCTTACCTGGCATGCGGTGGCGGCTCTTCTGCGGTGAGCTGATTGACCCACAGGCATCTCAACTGAGAATGCTGCTGGTGGCGGTACGGACCCTACAACCTGTATACCGAGCACTCCTAGTTAGTAACTTGATAGTAGTAAGCGCTCACTCAGCGCTCAAGGCTCTAAGCGCTAGACCAAATAGTATCGAGTGGCGTAGAATGGACGCAACGCTCGGCGAACGCCGAACTCGCACCGTTGGGCACGACGGTCACTCCAACCTTGGTCTCGTACCCAGACATCTTTACCTACAAGATGTCTGAGTACGAGACCACTGCATCTCATACCCGCGAAGCTGTTACTGCGTGCATCAGAACGAAGTCCATCCTGATTCGCTGATACTTCGGTACCCTATTGCTGATGAACTCTATGTTGCAGTGCATCTTGATAGGAATGGAAGCTGGAGTCGTGGAATGCGGAGCACACGGCGGCTACCTACGCTCGGTTCTTGTCTTTGGTCAGCTCCCTTGGTCTGCGGAGATCGTCTCAGCCTTGTCCTGGCCAGCCGTGCGCATGGCGAAAGTCACTCCTCAACAAAACCACGTATGCGTCAGTCCTTGAGCCGCACGCAGCACATTCATCGGCTGTCCAATGCTTTCGGCACTTCTCTTCGGAAACCTACATTAATCTCCTCTTATAATAGGCGCCGTGATATTCACAATGGACGAAGTACTTCTTCCTGGCCGAGACTCACCCTTGTGCCGCGGCAAGATGCGCGACGCCGCATCCCTCAGCCTGCACCCTCCCACACTGAACTCGGTCGTTTCAAGGCGTCCTGCACTCTAACCACGCTCATCTAGTATCCTGATTGGGATTGACAGGTCTGCTCCTTTTCGTCTCGCATCCAAGGTAACGGCACGCTAAGGCGTTTGTGTTCGAGACTCGCAAGCTCGCCATGGGTGTTCCACATTCCAGCAAGGTAGCGTCAAACCCGACGCAGTATGCTACCCTCATTGGCGAAAGTAACCGAGACGGCGAGAGCTACCGTCAGTACGACTATGTCGTCGTAGGAGGAGGTATGTTGAGTCATCGTGTTTTCCTGCTCATGGTTCGACGACACGAGTTCATCTACAGGCACTGCCGGATGCGTCCTCGCTTCGCGGTTGTCTGAGGACCGGAACTCGACAGTATTGCTCCTTGAAGCTGGCAGAAGGTGGGATGTCATTGTGCAGGAACGTTAACTCAGGACATATGATTGATTAAGTTGTGTTGCCACAGTCATGAAGGCAACTTACTATCGCGCATCCCGCTGGCGTACACAAAGATGTTCAAGACCGCCGTTGACTGGAACTTTCAAACAACGTAGGCAATCGCATTGACACGAGCGTTGACTGTAGTCCTGAGTTCTGCGTAGGCCACAAGAGGCGATGTCAGGGAAACAAGTCTATTGGCCTCAAGGAAAGATTCTCGGGGGAACGAGGTAAATTACAACTCTCTGTTGTCTTGTTACTGGTTCTGACCATTGACAGTGCAATCAACTCTCTCGTTCACCAGTACTGCGCTAAGGAAGGTGCGTGTGGGAAATTGCGCACGTGCCCTGTTTCTTGATCTGATGCGCAGACTTCGACGAGTGGGTCAAGCTTGGCGGAGAGGGATGGAGTTTCGATGACTTGCTACCGTGCGTTGTTGGTCTATACCACGTTAAGGTCCCCGATGCTTGACGATTTCTCCATAGCTATTTCCACAAGGCTGAGAACTATACAGCGAGCGCGCAGTCCCCGAACAAGAACAATCACGGAACCAATGGCCCACTACACGTCGGATATTCCAGTGAAGCGGCGGTAAGTGGACTGCGCTGAATGACTTCTGTTTCTCACCTCTAGATAGCCCGTCAATCAATACATCATCGAGACGTCCAAGTCGATGGGAGTGCCCTACATTGAGTGAGGCCGCCGACGTATTTTCGGTTCTTCGTGACCAGCTGATTATAACGCTCTTCATGTAGCGACATCAACGGCTCTCGCAGTATCGTAGGGTTAGCGCACATGCCAGGAATACTCGACCCCAAAGGCCAACGTCAGTACCCTCGCTGATGTAATCCACCTCATGCTGATGGTCCGAGACAGGAAACTCGACGGCTGTGGCGTACTTGACCAGGGACGTCCTCTCCCGACCGAACCTCATCGTCGGCGTCAACGTCGAAGTGGAAAAGATAATCTTCTCGCAAGAACAAGGCTCTACACCGCGTGCGATCGGAGTAGAACTGTCCACCGCCGCAGATGGACCTCGCTACCGAGTGAACGCCACTCGCGAGGTCATACTCAGCGCCGGCTCCATCTCGACTCCGCAAATTTTGATGCTCTCCGGCATTGGACCTGCAGACGGGCTCAGTCGGTTCAACATCCCCGTCGTCAAGGAGCTGCCCGCAGTGGGCCGAAATATGTCAGACGTGCGTTCTTCATGGACTTCGAGATGTTCTCGGCAGACTGACACAGACGTTCAGCACATTTCGTGTGGTCCCCTTCGCTTCAGAGCCAAGCCCGCGTACACATGGGATCGATACAACGCCACGTTTTCAGGTGCGGTGGCTATGATGAAGTGGCTGTTAACGGGCAAAGGCCCTCTATCCTCCATGGGGACGTCGATGGCCGCGTTCATACGCTCCGATGATCGAAGGTTGGTCTTGCGGTGCTCTTAAGGACAAGAACTTGCGCTCACGAACCGCTCAGCTTACCGTTCGGATCAAAGGCCTCCGAGAACCTCCCAGTCAAGGATCTGACGTCCGGCCCTAATACACCTGACATCGAGCTGGTCTGGGCGCCTTTTGTCTTCGTCAACTTCGGGTTCACCCCTCCGCCTCCTGGAGCGTCTGGCATAACAACAGTGCGTGATACGTTTGCTGGATTCCGGTACGTGTGTCTTACTTGCTTTATAGAGCGCTGTCGCGTTGAGGCCGGAGAGCACTGGTACCATTACCCTGCGGTCCGGCAGCGTATGGGACAAACCTCTTATCGATGGAAAGTAGGTGTAGCCCAACCGCCATTTGATTCAATGATACTCATCCGCTCGTGTAGTTACTTTGCCTCGAAAAGCGACATGAATATCGTCGTGCGCGGCACGAGGCTCCTCATGCGCATGGCGCGCACGGAGCCGCTCGCGTCTGTGCTGGACCTGAAGGCGCACTCGACAGACAAGGACGACATATTCTGGCCGGGAGACGCGGACCCAGACAAGGTTTGTTATTTCTTCCGAGGTTTCACGCTGGGTTTGCTGAGACGATCGGCGCAGATCACCGATGAGGAGTTGAAGGAGTGGATACGCGGCAACGCCTCGCCTTTCTTCCATCCGGTACGTCCACGTCCATATCATCGCTTGTTAATCAATGTAGTTCTCAACCATACTGACGTTGTCCGGACAGGTGTCGACGGCGAGGATGGGGCAGAGCGTAGAGACGAGCGTGGTCGATGCGAAACTGCGCGTGCACGGCGTCGCCGGTCTGCGCGTCGTGGATGCCTCTGTGTTTCCGTCTCACCTGTCCGGACATCCCGCAGCGGCGGTCATTGCGGTTGCCGAGAAGGCCGCGGACATGATTCGGAGCGAGATAGGCGCGTGAAACGAGCCCTTGATTTCCGAACTTTCGTACTGGACCACCAGCTAGTATTTCCCTTGTAGTGTCCTTTAGTTGTCTTGCATCTCGGTTATTTTTGTGGTGTTCGTCGTGTAATACTATGTGGTCAGACATTGCTTGCGTACCTGTCTTGCTTGCGCTCGTGTCGACTTGCAGAGCCGGAGTCAGTAGCGGGGCTCTGAGTGGCTGCTTTCTTCATGAACGCGGCCACGTGATTCAAACGCGGTCATGAAGTCGCGTCTGTGGCGTCGACTGTGATCGATCAAGCAATATTCCGTGATCTGGAATGGTGTGTTCCTCGGCGGAACAGGTAAGACTACTCCAGCGTCCTTATTTCGAGCATCTCCTTCGATTCAATGTGAGCTTAAAACACTGCATCAATGCTTGAAACGATCCTAAGCAAATTGTATGGACTTCTTCCAAGAGCCCGACAGTTTCAAAGGTCTAAGATAACGCAAAATTCCAACGATAGGCTGTGAGTCGTGACAGAATCGAGCCACGACCCGATTCTCATTACGTCGAGTTCGCGCTCCACCTGCTGACGTTTCAGGGCAGCAAGCCATACCATCATCGGTGTTATCGTCCATCCAAATTTTGACTATCGCAATTGTGAGAAGATGATCAAATGTGGCACTGGCACGTGCGAATTCATTTACCGCTTTGCAGGTAGTTCTCCAAGCTGCCGCCGTCGAGGAGGTCCTGTGAACAGACAACATCTATCAGCCAGCCATGCAATGCGGCAGGCGATCCTCGGCCTTATGCATGATGTGTTCAATCGTCCCACTCTCGTTGTGCATCTGCATCTGGAGCATTCGGACGCCATCGTTCAACTGCTGTGTCACTATGCGTCTACATTTCAGACTACCGCCACAGTTAAGTGGCCAATAAATCATACCATTATAGTCCTGATTGGCAGCGACTTGGCAAGAATCACTACAGATACAACATACAGCTGGTTCACTGCCTACCCGACGTGCTTGACACGGAATACGAGTCGTGAGCCCCGACAAAGGTGATGTTGCCAAACACCGGTGACAAAACTAAGTAGCGTTAGGAATGGCGTTGCACCAAGGGAGAGCTGCCCGGTTCACCTCGTCGTAGCCGTTACACGTGGAAGCCGCTCGTCTAACCGATACGGCACGCGCAGCAATAGGCGAAAGCAGCAGACCAAGAACGACCCGCGCTATGCATCGTGGAGAGGAAAGGCGCATCGTTGTCTAGATGAGTGTAGAAAAGAAAGAGGAACGGAGGTCCAGAGTGTTGTCAAAACACAACTGGGAGAGGCGATGCGCGTGAAACAGTCAGTGGGGCAAGCAGCGTCTCGTCGAGAGACGGCAGAAGCTGGCCGCAGTAGAGAACTCCCCGATAGCCACGTGATCGGCCGAAGTGTTATGGGATCTCGATGACGATCGTCTGATCGCTGCTCGACCTGTTCGGAACGGCACCTTTCTTCTTGTTGCGCGTCCACTCGCGTACGATGCCAGCCGACGGCGATGAGCCCGTGGGATTCTTCACAGGCTGTTCACCCAGCCTGCAAGGATACGGAAAGTATCAGTTCTCTCCGGCTCGTGGAAGGGCAGCACGAGGAAGTCATGAGTCGAATCAGGGACCTCGACGTATGTCACCTCGTCTTTACTCATATCCACCACCATCCTGTCCCTCAGCGTGCGCATGGGATCAAGGGCCATCTCCGCACCACCGGTGATCATCAATGTCTTAGGCAGGTTCGCGAACATGTCCTTCATCACTGCGAGGTGTAGCGCTCCGGAGGAGAACCATACCGTCGACGCCACATCGTCGGGCAGATACCCAAGCATCGCTCGCTTGCTGTAGCCACTGTAGAAGATAGGGCCCACGAAGTCGGATCGTGAGTGCTTGTACATCGAAGAGTCGCGTCCGACATGCGTCAACGCCGAGTCAACCATCGGGGACAGCAGGATCATGCCCCGCGGAGCTGGCAGGCTCGGTAGCTGATACTTGCTGATATAGTACGTGAGGACGAATGCAAGGTTGCCGCCCGCCGAGTCGCCTCCGATGACAATGTCGTTCGCGGAGAAGCCAACCACCTCGAGCAGGTAGCGGTAGCCGGAAATAGCGTCGATGAGCGCGGTTGGGAAAGGATTGGCTCTCCCGAACGCCTCGGCGCTCGAAAGACGGTATTCAAGGGCAAAGATGCGGGTCTTGGGCAGGTGCTCCTGCAGGCCTTCATAGAGGTACTTCATGCTTACACTGCTCGGGTTCGCCGTCCCCATCTAGTAAAGTGCATCATCATCTCCGTCAGGACGTCCGAAATGCAGGTTGGCACTTACAACATACGCTCCACTTGCATAGATAGCATGAGGTCAAGCGCGATGGCACGTACAGAGCGGTCCGACTCACCATGCAAGTGATAGATGACTTTCTCTCCCGGAGACGCCTTCTGGCCGACTTCACCACTGGGCCCGCGCGGTCCGATCCAGAAACCAGCCGTCCTGACGGGCTGAATGTTGTTGACGCGTGTGAACTCTTTCACTTCGCCCACGATCAGCTCAGTGGGTACGGGGTCGATGAAGACGAGACCAGTGGTGGCGGCGTCTGGCGCATCCTCCTTTGGGTATGCAGGAGTTGGGATACCCGTCTCGTATACGTAAGCAATGTACACCTGAAAAAGGTTGACGAATATGGCTCTGCCCAAGGTCCAGGAGGTCCTAGGCCGCCAGGACGGAAGGAGATTGATGAGCGTCCAATAGGGCAGTCGCAAGAGCAAACCAGCTACGGTGCTCAGCGTGTAGATGGCCTTGAAAGGCTGGTAGCGGAATGCAAAGACCATGTCGCGTTCAAAAGTGTGTGTGCGATGAAACTTGTGGGAGAGGTGCTTAAGACTGGTGTGCGCGCGCCACCGAGGCATTGCATCGGGAAAACTCGAACCGACAAGTTTCAAAACAGCAGTCCTGAGGCTTTCTAGAGTTTATTGTCTTTTTTGGTGACGGCAAGCAGATAAAAGTGTCCTAAGTCGGATGCGCTCGCGGCTCATGCATCATGAGTCACGGTCATGGTTCCACCGATTCCACCGGAGCCGTCTTGAAGACGATAGGGATTCCACAGTTCATTTTGACTCGAAAGCGCTTTCGAGGGGTTGCTCGGCGCGTCAGACAATAATATCCGGGGCCTGCGGAGGTTCGCAGGAATTGTGGCGGCTCCGGAGACTACTCAGCGCGCGCTTGGCCGCATTGGCATAATGAAAATGATGAGTCACGGTAATGATTCCACCGGAGCCGTCTTGAAGACGATACGGTTTGCACAGTCCATCTTGACTCGAAAGCGCTTTCGAGTGGGTCGCTCGGCGCATCAGACACGGATATCCGGAGCCTGCGGAGGTGAAGGAATTCTGGAGTCTCCGGGGACTACTCAGCGCGCGCTTTCGGCAAACCCCGCATCGCGAAAGTTAGGACGAAAGTCAACATTGGAGTTACATTGAGATTCATAGTCATCAGCAAAAAAGCAGAATGCATATATAGGCAGGTGAAGTAGGTAGTAACATGGGCACATACCTATGATATAGGCCGGAATAGCTAGATAATACATGGTCTTGCGACGCCGGTATGATTTGCCTGGACAAGTAGTCGAGTGATCCGACGAGGGTTGCTAGGAGTAGTCCGAGCTATATCTGCGGTGGATGGCTCACAGGTGACCGCATTGCCGGCCTTGGTACTGCACCAGTCCATATGAATTATTTATAATAAACTGTGAAGAAATTACATTTTACAACTATGTAGTACGCATGTGAGGTGAATGTCGAGCCATCGATTTTTTATTAAAATTCACAGAGCTCAGCATTACGAGTGTCTCTCATCTGTCAGCGCTAGACCATAGTACCCTTCATGAGTGCTTGATCTGAATGACACAACAGTAAACTTCTGCTGTCAAATACCTTCTTATAGCTTGTCGTAGTACGTATCCAGGGGCGGAATTTCGGGCTGCACAGAATAGACATGAGCAAAATATATTAACGCAAGTAGGAGCAAACGAACCTTGAGACCCTTGCGGACACGAATACGCCTGACGATTTCCTCGATCTTGCTGCCCTTGTCGAGCGGAGCTGTGAAGAGACTTCAGTCACCACAATATGATTTGGACATGATTGCAGATAGATTCACATCCGTTCAGCGTCTCCCAGTGGTCGAACACACTCTGGGGGAACGCCTGACCACCAGTCTGCGAGCGAAGCTCCCCATTGAAACCGAAGGACTCCCCGACGGGCAGGTATGCCTTGATCGTGAACATAGGCGTGCCGACACGCTGCTCCTCGGAGAACACCTGGCCACGACGCTTATTGAGCACACTGTAGACACCGCCAATCGCGTTCTCCGGGCACTGAATCTCAACTGATAGAAAAATCAGCTGTGCATGGATAGATGGAGCTAGGAAAAACACACCGAGATAGACAGGCTCCTGGAGACCGGGCGTGGCAAGCAAGCATGCGGCATAGCAGACGCGACGACACGTCGGAATGATCTGTCCTCCACCACGGTGGATGGCATCCGTGTGGAGCTGTTCCCAACGAACGTCAGAATGAACTTCAGCTGCAGAAACGTCTGATACATACCGTCACATCAAGGATGTCGATGCGGACACCACGCATGTTCTCCTCAGCGCAGACACCCTCCTTCGTTGCCCACTGGAAGGCAGCAACGCAAGAATCCTTGATTTCGTTGAGATACTGCACACCCTTCGTCACATCGACAAGGACGTTCGGACCAGCCGTGTCAGGACCGAAGCACCAGATCTTACGTGCGTCCGTGACGTCCCAACCGTACTCGTCCGCGAGAATACGCGCGCGGACCTTGTAATCGTCACGCGAGTTGACCTTGCCGGACTCGATGGCGAGCGAGAGCTCCTCCTCAATCGGCATCGCCTTGGCGTAGAGACGATTGTGCTTGTTCTGGGACTTGGAGAGCGCAACAATCGACGACTCGGCCTTGACAGTCTCACGATAAGGGACGACGGGGTCGGAGACCTTGAGAGGAACACCGGCATGGTCCTCTTCGAGATCCTAGCATGGCAGAATTAACGTCAATAACAGACCTCATGGCCTTGGAACATAATGCATACCTTCAAGCAAATCTCCAAGTGGAGCTCACCAACACCAGCGACAATGTGCTCACCGTTCTCGGAGATCCACGTCTGGACACACGGGTCGGACTTCGAGAGACGCTTAAGACCCTCGACCAGCTTGGGCAGATCTGGAGCATTCTTGACCTCGACGGCGACCTGCACGACAGGCGACACGGAGAACTTCATGACCCTTATGTTGTGCGCAGTCTCCGACGACGTGAGGGTACCGCTCTTGAGTAGGAACTGATCGATACCGACGAGACCAACGATGTTACCCGCCGGGCAGTCCTCGATGGGCTCGACATAACGGCCCATCATCAAAATCGTGCGCTGCACAGACTTGATGAACAGGTCTTCCTTCTTGCCCGGGACATAATTCGGGCCCTGGATACGGATCTTCGGGCCAGCACGAACGGTACCGGAGAAGACACGACCGAAGGCGTAGAAACGCCCCTTATCGGAGGTCGGCACCATCTTGGAGACGTAGAGCACGAGGGGTCCCTTGGGATCACAGTCACGAATACCGATGGCAGACTCGTCATCCATTGGACCCTCGTAGAGAGTCTCAACACGATAGCGCTGAGCAGTCTTAGGGGAGGGAAGGTTGATGACAATCATCTCCAGGAGAGAGTCACCGGCGGGCAAGAATTTGCGCATGATTACTTTCAAGAGAGCCTTGCCCTCGAGCTCACGCTCAGCCGGAACAAGCTTGACGTCGAGCTTCTCGAGCATGGAATCGATCGCGTCGTTATTGAGTTTCAAGACGGCATCGAAGACTTTGAAGATGGGGTCGAGGACGAACATGTTAAATGCGCGCTCGAGAGGTTTGCCGTCCGCGTCAGTGCCCTTGGCCGTCCATTTGTGCGTCGTGGGGTTGAAGTAGTTGTCGCCCCAAAGCTTGGCCATCATCTTCTCCTTATCAACTCCGAACTTCTTCGCGTACCTGTTCGCGAACTGGCGGAGGGTGAACCCCCACCCGTGCAGACCGGAACCGAAGGCGATGGTGCCCTTCTCGGGGTAGACCTGGACGTCACCCAGCGCAACGTCGTGGTATGTCGAAATGATGACGTTCACGTTCTCAATCGTACGACGAAATGACTGATACAGCGCCTCCTTGTCAACCTGCAGCTCGAGCAGAGCACGGTCAACCTTGTTGATGATGACGACGGGCTTGATACGCTCAGTCAGGGCTTGACGAAGCACAGTTTCTGTCTGCACGCAGACACCCTCAACACAGTCGACGACAACAAGGGCACCATCCGTGACACGGAGTGCTGCTGTGACTTCCGACGAGAAGTCAACGTGGCCAGGAGAATCGATCAAATTGATCAAGAACTCGCTGCCTGGGGATATTTGTCAGGAACACGAGGCCACCGACGCACAGCACGCAGCACATACCCTCGGTCTGCTGCTTGATCGAACTTAAATCCTCCTTGTCGACCTCGAAGTACATGGAGATGGCGGTCGACTTTATAGTAATGCCACGCTCCTTTTCGTCCGGTCGTGTATCCATGAAAACGACTTCGCCGACTTTCGCACTGGCAATGATACCAGCTTTGGAGACCAACGAGTCCGTGAGAGTGGACTTTCCATGGTCGACTGCGCGAAGCCTCTTGATAAACAACAAGACTAGAGCAAGGAAGCCAGTAACGAGACTTACCATGAGCAATAACGCTCATGTTACGGATATTGGTGGGCTTGTCCATGAGAGCCCGAATCTGGTCTGTTCAACCTCAGAATTGCCCGTTCAACCGAAATGGCTTTCATCACTCACCGACGGTGAAGTTACTGTCATTGCATAGAAAATGATGTAAACACTAAGGAAATTGCAGGGAGGTTGTAGAAGGCGAAACTTACACCATGGTCACTAGTTTTTACAGGCGAGCAGAAAAATAAAGTTAAGGTGGCGACGTCCTCTGAGGGATCGCCTGGGATCAAGGAGTGGTACTGAGTCGACGCGAGGAAAGGGGTGGCGCAGAACTCGAAACTTTTGCAAAGGGGTGAACGGCCTGCTTATCCCGTGAGAATGACGCTCCCGTTCCCATATGCGGTAGGCGCCCAGCGCTGAGCGGTGTCTGGGGTCAAATGACAATCCGTGATGCAGTAGATTTCGACACAACATTTCCCTCACTGAAATTATCGTGCCCAAAGGATTTCACCGCAAACTGTGCGTACAAAGTTCATTTGACCCCTCCCCTGTCTCACATTTGCGTTCAGCTCTCTGACTACTCATAGCGCACTCATTGCTACGTGGTGGAGGCCTGACTGGTTTTCATTCATGAGTATGATCTCGGGCGACACTCTGCTCATCATTGCAGGCTCCTTACATCCACTCAACGCACCGGTGGTATTGCTTGATCACATGCTCGCGTACTGAAGATGTCGTCTCCTTGCGCCTCTTGTCTGTCAGATGTCTGCTATGCCGGCTGTGATTTCTCGACGACCCTGTCAGGCATTGCGCAATGTCTCTACCGACTACGGAGTGCCGTTGCTTCCTCAACATGGTCTTTCACGCCTGCATCTCCTACCTGGCAATCTGGCAACAAAGCATAATCTTGGTGTTTCGGACCATGACATGGACATATACATCGGCTGGACGTGACCTGTCGATGTATGAGCACTCGCCGTGCGTTCCTATCGACCAGTGCTGTCAACGATCATATGGAGGGCATGCCGCTCGATGTCTGCGCTGATGAGAGGAGACATCGTGCGTCATGAGCTGCCATTGTACGCCCATCTGATACTTGTTAGCGCCCGATATGCGTGAGTTCGGGAGGTTATTGATAGGGGTCTGGTGAGCTCTGGGTTCAACAAGCTTCACGCATGGTTTGCATAACTCGGTGCTCTGCTACAAGCGAAAAGATAAAGATTCCAACTTGACCCATCATCGCCGAGGCTTCTGGGCACGGGGCTTCTGGAGCTCTCAGCCTCTTGTCCCATCTGAATCGCTTTGGAGGCATCATGCAGCAGGGGAAGAGGATACAAGGTTGGCTCCATCTACTCTGTGCATCGCACTGTGGCTCGTTCTATGCCATTATGGCTGCTCTTTGGTGTGCTTGCTGCATATGGTACTGGATTCAATTGTCCTGCACTGCTGGTCGACACTGTGGCGCCTCTGGTCTTGAAGATAGTCTTTAACTAGCTGTCATAATTGCGATGCAGACGTCGTTTATGGATGCGTCGAAAACTCGCACAACCCGATCATTGGCGAGTCGCGACGCGCGAGACTTATACCTGGGGCTCCTCGGTATGACAGAGCCTTGCGTATTTGCGTAATCGCGTACAGTGACTGTCCACAAAATCCACGCCGGATTGTTTGTCTGCTCATTTAGTGGTAAAGTCCAGTTTGAAAGATCAGCATCGTGCTGGGCTCTCGCGTTCGTTGGTATTCCTGCTGACAGTATCTGAATTTGTGAGCCCTTGCATCACGCGCCTTTTGTATCAATCTTATTATGTTCAAAACGGCTGGTTAATGCGGTGCTATTGCATCAGCCACATTCTTATTTACGGATTGCTGACTGCTGTGGACATGTGCGATCTTTACAGGAAGCTGTATGCTCGCACGACTGCGGAGACATCGCGCTGGAATCATCGTTAGTGGATGACTCGACCAGGCAGGATCTCAATGGGATTACGATGATCTTCCAGACATCTGGAACTCGCGATCTTTCTCCCCAATGTATGCTCATCGTCTAGTGTTGCCTTCAAGGTGCTGATGGGAACATTGCCTATGAGTGCTGGCACTGCTCAGCTTTCAAACTTGGTGACGCCTGCGGATGTGATCTCTTGGGTTTTGACTGGCTGATCCTGTGTAACGCTAATAACATGTTCGCCATTGGCAGTCCGGTGCGATATCTGTCACCGCGCGTGCAAGCACGTTCATAGAAGCTCCAGTGAATCACTGCTCTCTCCCTCCACGGATTGGAATGAGAACGAACGTGACACGACGTACAGCGGTCGTGGTGAAGAACAGCCCCGTGCGTTTCTCAGCTTTATCGCCAACGACACCCATTCCTTTTGGACATAACCGAGAGGTGATAGCAATTCGCTTACACGTACATTAATTTTCTTCCCATTCGAGGAAATGGAAACCCATTTTCACCGGTCTCGGCGAACGAAAGATTGAGTTTGAGAAGTAAAACCTGGCATCGTTTCCCGACCACGACATGCGCACCGAAGCATCTTATGAGACTGCGATCAACGGGTTTAGCTCAGCTCCGTCATCTCTAAATCTGATTTCTACGCGTACAGAAAATGTTTTGATCACAATCCCGAGACGACCAGATGATCATGCACCAGTACTCTTGTGCATGGGATCCAGGCACCCATCAGCCATCTTGGTAGTAAGGTAGCGGCGTCTAAGTGGCCGTATCACTACATAGACGCTCTTCTCAACATCGTAGTTTTCCCTCACCGTATTGTTTCTCGAACTCTAGTCTGTGCCATCATGCTTGACACATTGCTGGTCTGCTCCGCAGCTTTCGCTATACTGGCAATAGCCACATATAGGAGCTTGGTTTCCCGTCTTCCTCTTCCTCCAGGTCCGAAGGCTAGATTCATTTCCGGGAATGTCCATCAGCTCCCTGCCAGCCACCCCTGGCTGAGGTATACTGAGTGGTCAAAGCAGCATGGTATGAGATGAATCATCGTATTTCTATTGCCGGAATGTCATCGCTTCATTCTTTCATTGTCATGCAGGCCCGTCGGTTTACTTCCGCGTGTTCACTCGCAGGGTTCTCGTTTTGAACTCCCTGAAAGCAGCCACAGATCTTCTTGAATCCCGATCTACCATTTACTCAGATCGCCCGATATTATGGATGTACACAGAGCTCATAAACAGGAAGCTAGCTGTCTTCAACATTTCGTCGAAGAACCCGCGGTTCAAGAGGTATCGCAGAATTCTACATAGCAGTCTGAACCCTCGCGCCGCACAGAGCTTCAGAGCACTCCAGGTGAAAGAAACTCACACGCTCTTGCGAGGCCTGGCGGCTTCGCCTCAGGATTTTATGTATCATATAAGAAGGTGAGAGCGCCACACCTCTTGAGAAGGGTATCGTGTAATATAACACGTTCCTTGAACTGTGTAGGAATGCGGGTGCAGTGATGCTCAAATATACGTATGGATGGACAGTGAAGAGCAACGACGACCCCTTGCTTAAGATTCTCGAGGACTCCATCGAGCTCCAGACGGTTGTCACTAAGCCAGGCCGTTGGCTCGTCGATACATTCCCGATACGTATGCATATCATGAATTTTATCTGGCTCTGTAGCTCATGATCGATCTAGTTCGCTTCGTACCAGCGTGGTTGCCGTTCGCCAATTTCAAACGCATGGCGGCTGAGTACCGCAGAGAGTTCTCCAGAGTGGATGACATCCCTCATGAATGGGCCAAGCAGCAAATTGTCAGCATTCTCAGACCTCCCGTCCGCATGGATTACTGATTTGACATGGTAGGATATGGGGATACATGTCGATTCATTCGCATCTCGTCATTTGCGCACTGCTAGTGGCATGACGGTGGATGCGGAGGAGGAGGACATCATCAAGTGGTGCAGCGTCGCGCTTTTTGCAGGAGGAAGTGATACGGTGAGTGCTGGCCGCCCAACCTCGACCGCACTGAGGATACATAAATCGGATAGGTCGTTGGTGTGGTGAAAGCCTTCATTCTAGCCATGAGCCTCTATCCTCAGTACCAAAAGCGCGCTCAGCTTGAAATCGCCGAAGTGATAGGTTCGCAAAAATTGCCGACTTTTGATGACCAGCCGCGTCTGCCGTATGTGATGGCCATCTTTAAAGAGGTCCTGCGATGGGCCCCGGTGGCACCACTGGGTATGGCTAATATGCCGACGATACTATTCTATCTGAATACATGAGATATGCAATTTAGGTCTGCCACATTCAGTCACGCAAGATGATATTTACGAGGATTACTTGATCCCGAAGGGCACTACTGTGATAGCGAACATATGGTGAACGCTGTGTGTCTTCCCCTCTTTCGGCTGCTGAGACTCTTTGATAGGGGGATCTCTCACGATCCTGATAACTACCCGGAGCCGTCAGTATTTAATCCCGAAAGATTTTTGCCGCACGATGGAGGCGATTCTGGACTAGACCCTCGCAAGTTCGTTTTCGGTTTCGGGCGACGTGTCTGTCCGGGTATATTCTCTTCTACGTTCAGCTGACAGTGATACTGATCGGTCTACAGGTTCACATTTTGCAGAGGTGTCAGTCTTCTTGGTCATCTCGAACATACTGGCCATGTTCAACATCGACAAAGCCGTCGATGAGAAAGGAGAAGTGATTGATCCTAGTGTTGAGTTCACCAGTGCTGTCACTAGGTGCGCAGCCAAGATATGTTCACAGCACGCACACTAATGCACATTCAGCCATGTCAAGCCATTCGACTGTCGCATCACCGTATGCAACCCAGAGCTTCTCGCTGCCTTGGAGGCAGATTAACAACTTCCCGCTTAAATCATTCCTGTTGTTTCTGCTTCCTGTGCTAGTTTTGTCTCAGGCTTCAAGCTACGTGTGGTAACATCGCAAGCGCGGTAACTACCTCTGGCTTTCAATTGACCATTCAACTTCATCTCCGCTGATTCTGAGTTCAGTCATGATATTTGCCATTCAAGGTTCCCAAAAGATGTCTTTGATATCATTCGACAGGCCTTGTCAGAGTCTTGGACTCTAGAGCGGCAGATTTCTCTCAATACACATCTGTACCGGTCTCAACGCAGTTGCAGCTCTGCTTACAGCATGCATATCTGATGAATCTCAAAGTGTCTGCTGCTTGAGGGGATACATAGCACCGGTAAAGTACGACTGTGTTGCCGTGCTGCTAATCGGCGTACGATCATGAGGCAAGGCATCTTGTGCACATCATCACGACTCATGGCCCTGGTCAACACAGAGCACACAGCGAGGAAGAGATTTCGTTTATACTTTTGCCATCGTCACAGGACGCAACATCAATGGTTAGGTTCACCGAGACGCGGCTAGTGTTCGCGATGTTTCACAATTAGAGTGCCACCTTAACGAAAAAAAAGGCAGATTTAATCAGTTAACGTTCAGAACTCTGCTGTGTGCACACGATGTATATATTCGCATGCGCTTTCACAGTGACCGGCTAAACCGTGTGCAGGTAATCAGAGTCACCGATGCATCTAACCAGCCCGCGTTCATGGGAGCAATCACGATTAGATGCCCTGTCTACTTCAAAGACGCTTGCGCACCTTGGCTACAGTAAGCCTGATCGTCGAGGTGACGATATGCGCGCTATCAATCTGCGGCTACAATATCATGTACCGGGGTAAGTGAGGTCGGACTTGAGATCAGGAGCACACCAACATGCAAAACAGCACGGTCAAAGATAAGCGTATCACCGGATGAGGTGAGAGGTTGCGAACTGAATGCAGCCACAACTTCTTGTAGAGCCGTCTTCTCAGTTCTGACCAGCCATAGGTGGGAACGTGCAACGCTGTGATCAACATCGCGCAGCCGATTCGCACTATGTATGTGACGTTGGCTATTGCTAAATGTGAAGTTTGAACACTGTGAGCGATGCACTGTCTAAGGAGGCATAGACGTACATTTTCGAGTGTTTCTCGCCCGGACCTTTCCCTCGAGTTCAACTTCCTGGATCACAAAGATACAAACGAAGGCCCGAAGACGGCTACAAACGTTAACGAGGGAACAGGGTCAGCAGCATGGGCGAGCCTTCGCGCGCCATGCGTGATTGGTTGTCCAGACCTTAAGCTGCAAGCGCTGGCAATCAATTACATCCTGACACAGGCGAGCTCATGAATAGTAGCGGATAGCAACGATACTACCTTACGACAGCTCGATATCCTGGAACAAAGTCAAATTGACAATCGCTCAAGAATTCTGAGAATTAGCACATAGGTAATTGCTCACTACTAAGGCAAGCGTGTTCTCAGTGAAATCTAGCAATATCGTAGCATCCCGAGAGACGAAGCGGCCATAATATCTATAGGAGTTGCTCATGGGATCATAAAACCTGTTCCATAGCGCAATATCTGCACCTGCGACATGTGCGCCGGTGGAGCCATTCGAGCAATTGCGACCAGGATGACAGTGTCGGTCAAGTGTACGGATGGCAGCTGTAGGAATGTGCAATTCATAAAATTCATAGCTGATAGTGCGTACATGGAGGTTGAACTCCATTTCACCGACCAATCGCGATATCGATAGCCAAGCTCTCAGAGTCCGGAGTTGAATCCGGCTTCCACCATGCTTTCCCGTGAACTGTCAATCAGCATTCCCTAAGGGAATGCGCTGCAAGAAGGAAAAATGAGTAAGCAACACGAACTGTTTACCAGTACAAAACGTACAGTTGACCGGTTCGCCATCATTTTCCGATACTGCGTCCACATTGCGAACCATGATGCCGCCCCTCTTGAATTAAATCCCCGTTAATCGAATGCTTATCAATCAAGTATTTTCGACTTACTGCAGTGTCCGTATATGTCTCCCGCATCACCTCTATCTTGAAGCCTCTATCGACGCTGCTGTTGTATTCGGATGGCGTAGTATTGAGCAGGGAGGCCTCCGGTCGAATCGTGGATAATGAAATGAGCGTATCGTCGGGACGACGCTGCATGGCTCGATTATTGAAGTTAATCAGCAAGGTATTTGCGTATCTACAGGCGCATCAGCAATTGTCAACGATCATTTAATGAGAGCTCACAGCTTCGATAACACCAGCACCCTGAGAGCGTGAAGATGAGGTGTGAATAAAGAATATATAATGGTGTACATACGGAGCTGTGTGCAGGTAGGTTTGCTGCAAAGCATGAGGGGACTTTCGAAGACAAAAACGACAGGACAAACGTACCGGCTTCGTGGTGAACAGAATCAAATCGATCGTCGCAATTGTAGCTATCAATGATTTGAGTTATCGCATATTCACGATATCTTAGTGCAGAAGTGGAGCACCTGTCAATGACCCGGTCTCAATGACAAGGGTGATCAGACGATTGAGGATCGCGTCCGATGCCTTGAAGCCCTTTTTTGCTCTCGACAGCTGGAAAAAGTATAAAATTATAATGATGACGGTTGATGAACAGGTGCAATGTACGTACGAAAATCGTCATACTAATGGCGATAATAATGTCATCCAGTGCGCTGCCAGCAAGCCACGCCTGAATACGTCAGTCCCTCTGGTGAATGCGCCATTACAAGATGCGAACTTACATCAATGTAGGGAGTGACGGTGTTCTCATCGGAAGTCGACGTCAGAAGCTTCAGCTGTAAAGACATTAATATTGTTAGGGTGGATACTGAAGACATTACTCACCTTCACGCCTCCCACAATCGCGATCGACATTTGGGCAAGGGCGATCTATCGGTAACATGAGATGTAGAATCTCTCGCAAACGCTTGAAAACATTGACATACGATAACAATTGCTCCTACGAGGATTCGGAGTTTCGATATGACCCAAATTCTCCAAGCAAAGAAGCATTGAACCGCAGCAGACATGACGCCACACATTACGGGGACGCTGAACCATCCGTTGTGGTATGTTGTTAGTCCCGAGACTTCGCCATAATCGTAGACATAGTAGTCGAAGCCGACCGCAGCGATGAGAGCGGATTGGATGACCTCACAGATAAGCACTCCATAAACTGTATCAAGATCAAAAGATGAGAATTCACATGCGTTCATGAAATTAGACAAAACTTGCCAAAGAGTCTCAACGAGAGGGGGTCCTTTGGGAAGCAGACGTGGTATATGTCTCCGTCCTTCAATGAGCATATAATGATGGTAGAGGTGCTTGACCACCGACTCACAGACTTGCACAAACAACATTCCAAGCAATGCCCAATTAAGGAGCATTCCCAGGAACTACTTTGGCAATCAGTACGAGCGGTGTGAGGAGATGGAAGGAATACCGACCTCTGGGCCCGTGCTGCAACGTCAACATGAGCTGGTACATGCATCTATATCGGCTAAGAACGTACAGCAGTCTGACCTCCAAGCTCGCTGTCATTCTGTCCAGCAGGGGAGGAACTTCTGAGATGGAAGAAAAAGAGAAAGCGCTCCGAGGAGCAAGGAAATTGTTCTTATTGACGCCTTCATCGCCGCCATCGAGTCACGAGTACCCAAAATGACCTACGCCTCTTAGAGCGATGCCACAGCATAAACTGAAATAGGGCTCCGGACGCAGTGCTTCCTCGCCACTTGCTCAGTGAGCTGACACTTGACGTCGGTGTTTGTCTGAACTGTCGTATGACTGCTACAAGCAAGAACTGAAGGCGCCGCGCCTCAACTTCTTTACCATACCACATCAGCTGCAAAAGAAGTCTGACTCCGGGAGCATCAATGTCTTGCATTTCATCGTACTTACTGGCATGCGTAAAACCTTTTACTCCCCGCACAAACCTTGATCTTTTCACACGTAAAGATCAGATCAGAAGAATGCATTCGTATGATCATCTATGCATGACAGGGCTTGTGGAGTCTCAGTTGGCTTCCTGGTGTGCCTGGAGCCAACGAGCACTGTCGAACTGGCGTTTCCTGATCGGAGCATGGGTGTTGGCTGTCAGTCACATCGCTGTGGCGTCTCCATCTGAGTTTGTCCTCAGTACTCCTATTCCCACACAGTGACAACCAATTGGACGTACAAGGAGGGAAACATGCGCTCCTGATGCTTTTTGAACGTTACTTGGCTCACCCAAGTCGCGGAGCTGTCATGGCGTGCAGAGAGCGCTGAACATCTCTCACCGTTAGAGGCCAACGCGCCAAAAAAGTAGACATCATGTCCGACCATACCCCGACTGAAACCTGTGATCAACAACATACTATGACGATCGCCGCGGAACCTTGCAAACCCTGCAGATCACGATTGTAGCAAAGTAAGAATCGACAGATTGATTCCCCAGCAGGCTGAGAAAGGTCAGCAGAAATATCTGCTGAGAAACTCGTAGGTCTCAGGGAGATAACGAGCGACAGTGATAGCCATGTGAGCTGACATCGGGTCAGCCGCTGTGATCAAGTGAGAAGTGTATCCGTGGGAACGCTGAGTTTGAACGTATCGCAAACCACGGCCACAACGCGACCACTCGAGGACGCGCCTCAGGCTGTCAAGCGTGTCTTTCTGCATAATCTTCGTGTCGCTCGACGCTAGCACGTTCGTTCACGCATTCATACTGTCAAAATCCTGTTGAAAGTAGTGAATTCTTCTCCCGGCGACCCTCAAATCAATGCTGAATGGCTTGCTGAGCTGTTCTCTCAAAAGTGCGGGATCTCCCAACCTCGAGAATTCCAGATCAAAAATGGACTAGGCATCATCGAAATCGAAAGGCACGAAGCCTTTCTAGTTATTCCTCCAGGTCAGGGCAAGACGACAGTGTTCTGGGCCCCTCTACTTGCAGCTCGAGCACTCGGCGAGCGGGGCGTCGCGCTATACATTGTCCCTACCGAGCTACTTTCTACACAGCAGGTACGATATCTCTGCTGGATTCACACACAGAAATAAAGAACAATACGTGACTTGATTTACTAGAGCGAGAGTGCCCGTCGAGTTGGGCTGCGCGATCGCGCTGAACGAGGATACGTCCGCGACGCGTACTGCGACAAGCGCGATCTTTTCGACGAGCTGCAGAACGGCAAATACATCCGCATCACTTTACTGAGTCCTCAAATGCTTGCTGGGGAACGCATGATGAAGCTCTTGCGGATATCTGGCTTCAAAGACCTCATCCGCTGGTTCATGATTGATAAGACTCCATATCATGGTCACAGGTGAATATAAATGAACGAAAGCTACAGAGATGCCGCTCATCGACGATCACAAAGTCGAACTTTTTATCGGCGACGTAACCGACATCAGCGAGCTTGGTACTCATGGTTGGGGGAATGTGTACAGGTCGCCCGTGGATGACGAGTTTGAAGACCACGACATGTGAACGCCGAAGAACCAAAGACAGTGATGGAAGAACCAGGGAGCATGATCGGAAGATTTACTTCAGGAGAGCTTGCACTCCTCGGGATAGGTCATCAGGGGACCTTTGCTTTTTCCTAGCCCACTCGATCCCATTCGGACGGCGAAGTGGACACTCTGGAGAGGTCCTGGGTCATAGATGTCCTCGTTAACCTTCTAGCTCCGATGATGCAGTCCAGATGTGCTGAAAGGCCCGTGTCATGTTCGCGTGTGGCGGAACGAATTTTGCGACGTTGGCTGAACGAATCTCGGAGCGTCTGAGTAATGAGAATGTCTTGCAGAATGCTATTGGGGTCACGGTCAGCTTGAACTGAGGTCCCGGTATGGGTTTGCAGAGGCGATTGATATCCGTGTTAACCAGAACACTAGGTTAACAACTAAAAGCACGAAGAAGCATCCGTCAATTGTGACAAAATATACAATGCAGAAGCAACTCTTGGCCATCGGTGATACTAACCAGCCGTGTCCTATCACGGTACTACATGATGCCACCATGGTGCTTTGGTCAGGATAACGGCATGTCGCAGCTGTCAATGGTAGCGCTAATACAAACCCGCCTTTCTGGCACCATAGTACGTTGATTAAGCCCTACAGCTGCAACCCTGTGTCACTTGATTTACTTTGTAGGCTAAGAGAGTACAGGTAACATAGTATGCCTGAGGTGCCAAGAGAGTACAAATCTTAACACGACATACTGCAGTGAGGCTATGGTGATACCTGCCCGGCGTCTGGCAGCGCTTCATAACGTAAGTTAACGCCGTTCACAACTTTCATTCTCATGTCATTGCAGAACGCGGAAAGTGCGGTCACGGCGTTGTCTGCTGGCAGCACAGCGGCATAGCAGCTCTGCGGTGATTATTTCACAAAAGTATATGACATGAAGAGAGTTTATAGGAACTCCGAGCAGTGTGTTCGATTGTCTGCTGTTCGGGTCATTCGAGTGTGCAGCCGCAGTAGCTATGTCTTGAAGCTTGAAGTAAAACGTGAGGCAATGTCACATCGTTCCACGTTGCGTCTCATATTATTTCGGGGCTCAATTTGGTCGTGTTTACCGTGGCTTCCGGTCCAACTCTGGAGCTTCCGTTCCATCGCTATATGTTTCATGTCTGCCAGAACGTGCAGCCGCGTCTATGACGATCGTCCCAGAGTATGCAGCTGTACAGGGTAAAGATGCACACCACGGAGATAGAAGATGTCTGAGAGTGTTGGGCATTTATCATTCAATTCACTAGATGATCGTCAGGGACCAGCGCATTGCTCAGCAAGTACCGTACTATTGGCTCCCGGAGAGTGGGGGTGAGATGATTTTGAAGGATTGAACAAGTCTTGGGATGATGGTGGACAGATGGTACCTTCAATGGCTTTCAGCACCTCATGGCGCAAGGCACGAAGTACAGGCTGGGACCGCACGCGCAGGCTTCGTGCATCTTTCCCATTCGCGACAGGTCGTGTGCCATTCCGCATATCAGCTGCTTTATGACCAGTCTTGCAAGAGCTTCATGCGAGGAGCTTCACTTGTACGAACTCTCCCTTATACGATCACCTTCTTGATCTTAAAACTGAGCTCTCTTGGCGTAACGCTTATAGTGATAGTGAGATATTCACATTCAACTACATTGCGAAGGTATATAGAGCATCAAATCCAAGATCAAATTTACATAAATAATTATGATGCTGGGCACTTTCTGGTCGACACATTGGTTCTGTACTTCGCACGTATCCACACTTCCCGTCTTATATAGCTATACAACAAGTGGCATTTCTAGATCGCACTTTCCTTCCGAGGAATAATGCGACAATTGAACGGCTGTGGAGCGCTGCTGGTGTTCAGCCACGAAGCCCAAACAACAAACGAATGCTATCGCATACCTTACGGTGGTCGCCGTAAACGCCAACGGAGGGATTTCTTCGTTCCCATCTGCGTCCAAAGCGGGTTTGATCTGGAACACGGATAGAACCTGACTGACGAAGAGGAAGATTTGAGCGTTCCCAAGATTAGCCCCCGGACAGATCCTGCAAGGAATGTCCTCAGTACGACGTGTCCGTGCCTTGCTATGCCGTCCGTACCTCTTTCCCAGCCCGAATGTGAAGTCGCGAGGGTCCTTGACAGATCCCGAGGGGCACATGAAGCGTTCGGGGTCAAACGTATCCGGATCTGGATATACCTCCGGATCGTGCGCGATCGCCCTAAAAGCTCCTTGAGAGCAAGTCAGACAGCGACAATTCTCATCTGCTTACCAGAGGTTGAACAACACCCAAGAACCACCGGGAATGCGTCGGCCATCGTATATATCGTCTTTGTTGAGGGATCGCGGGAGCAATGGCACGACGGGGCTGAAGCGGTGGCACTCTTTTATCACGGCGTTGATATAGGGCATCGATCGTTGATCGGCCAGGGTGGGTAGCCGAGATGTGCCAATTACTTTGATGATCTCAGCGTATGCTTTCTCTTGAACATCTTGCCGTGTTGTCATATGGAGCAAGAAACGCGCTATCAAGGTATGCATCTGGAGAGGTTGAGCATTATATCTCGAAGGAGGGGGAGCCACAAAGATACGCACAGAAGATGTACTGGCTTCATGTGAGATGTGAGCAATCAGTCGAGGACTCGTTACGATGGCTGGGCCACATACCTACTAGAGTACTCGCGGAAGCGCATTGCAGTGTGGCTTCGTCGAATTCGGACTTTCCACCTGTGATTTCTTGCAATACGTCACCAACGATCCCACCAACGGACATGCCCCGTGACTCAAAGTGGTTCACTCAGCACAACAAAACTCGGCAAGGGATATATGGGAGCTTACCAAGGACGCCCGGACGTTCATGTACGGCTTTATGGTGAATTCGTCGAATTTTTGTCGCGATTGTCGGCTCCAAGACTTGAATCCCATGCCCGGAAGCCACCCTGGAAGAGAGTCCACTGCGAAGGATCAGCTCACGACCAATCAAATAGCATTATTCTGCCGCCTTACAGAACGGGAAACGGTCCAATATCCACCTTCCAGGTGCCAACGATTGAAGGACCCACTCGTCCACATGACCTGCAAGCTGCAGGTGACGGTCGGTGACTTTCAGGCCATACACAAACTGTAAGACGAAAGAGTGCATGTATCTACGGCATGTCAGCGACAACACCGGAAGAGAAGTTTCATGATGTCGAACCTTCTGATATGCTGTTGATACTGCTCTGGAGTTTGCGACAGGTTGTTGATCAGTTCCTTAGTTTCGTCCTCCAGTAAAGGGCCCCAACGGTCTTGAGATACAGTGTTTACGGCACGATATACGATAGCCCGAGCTTTTTTGAATTTCTCCGATCTGGGATCCGCAAACAGGATAAGCTTGTCCAGGCCAGTCAGGCCGACTATAGACCATCCCGGCCGGAATCCATAGAGCGCAGATCGCCTCTTCAGGAGGTCCGAGATAGCCTTGGGCGAATTCACGACGACGATGTGACGTCCATATTCGGAGAAGTGATAAAGCGGTCCTGCAACAACCATTAATTCTCGTGTATGGGTCTTTGCAATTCGTACCTACCGAAAGCTTTCGACAAATTTGCAAACGTCCTCCAAGGATCTGCGCGAAGGGACGCACCCTGATAATTGATACTGTGAGGCCCTATTGGAATTAGTCGTTGATGCTGTATACATCACGGCGAAAGATACTTACTGGGAGTTAGCGGCACCGAACGCACCTTCCTCACGAGCCCGACTATGAGCAGAATAGCAAAGCAGGCCGCAAGATATGCGAAGATCATTTTGCAGTGACAATGTCACTAGGTGTCTCTATAAAGGCCGGATGATGCAGTGCAAAATTGACTACGGCCACGCCGAGCCTTTTATTGCCTGTCGAACTCCATGTGAAAGCCGCCTCAACTGCAAACGTATGCACGACTCTCACCATCATTCCTCTAGTCGGATGCTATATATTGCCAGCAGTGGTTTGGTGAGGATAGCGATACGCCGCCGCCGCATCTGAGATACTATGGTCATTCCGGCTGTCTCAGCCTCACCGCCACGAAGATGCGCTAAAGAGGCTCGAAACGGCATAGTACAGTGATCTCCGTCACAGACATTGACGTTTTCGATCGATATAGCGCGGATTCGTATAATTAATTGCTGCGTCGCACCTCGGAACGGATCTCTTAGTGAGATTGTGCTGTCTGATTCCTCGCGGTGGCTTCGCGGCTTTAGCAAAATGATGATCAGTGTCCCTTGTGTGTTGTGCAATTGGAAGAGAGGGATGATCATTACCAGGTACTGACTCCCATGTTTGGCAGGTTTGGGTATCGAACGTTGTCATTAGACTTCGGAACACACTAGCGTGTCACAGCTCCAAGAGCGCGCTGCCGCGCTGCGCCACGTGCTCCGGCGGCATGTTTCAGATGCTCTCCTCGGCCGCTCTCACGCCACGCTGTGTCTGACCCCTGCCTTTCTGACAACAATGCCCACTCAGTTCATGTTGTGATCACCCATTGTCTCTTTGATGGTTCTGTCGTTCCCCTTCGAGCAAGATTGGGTATGTTCGATCGGCCTCTGACACCAGCACTCGACGACGGATGCTCGCCCTGCTATGATCACGAACACCGATATTGAATGATATAAGGATTTGATAAGGATGAATGCTCCGCGGTTCGTACTCCAATAGAGTGAGTACAGGTTTCATGAAGCATACGATGCTTCTGAGAATCCGAAGCTTACAGCGGCTCCATCACTGTTACAGTCCGCAACATCATACAAATCCCCTTAGCTCTGTGAATCGAAAAGATGTCGGGACTCGGTAGCCGTGCCTAGATAACCTGGCATCACGATGGCAGAGGGCGAATTTGCAACAGGACTTGATCTCAGGTCGTCCGGCGTAGCAATAATCCGATGCATTTTCATCGTGCGGATGGGAACATTTCAAGAGCATGCGGTCGCTGCGGGAACAACAGAGCAACGGAAGCCTATGTCCATGATGTATCATTTTGATGTTCAGGACGACAGCTTGCCCATTAGTGTCAAATTGCCGGGATGCCGTGCAGTCACAATTGTGCCCCTCCAAAAAAAAACTGGCGTAACCGGGAGGTTGGTGCCCATAGTCTCACGTTGTGACAAATTTGAGACAGTTCACAGCTGGACGTGTTACTGTCAGGTATCCTGCTTCTATGCTGTAAAGTTCCGATGAGTCCGTGCGACAGCTTCCCCAAAGTCAGAAACGTCAGGTAGAGAAGTTTTTGACTGATCCGTTAGCTTCGTATCTTTGACATCAGACTCCTTACAGAATCTCTCATGCGGATTCTGACTCATGGAAAGGAGCGAGCCAGCGTCCCGCGCGGCAATCATTGGTATGCGCTGCGCTTGATTCTGATATCACTGGTTGCGTTTCTGATTGATGTATTCATCTCACTAGCTCGACTCAGAACGCCGGGTGAAACAAAACACGTTCGTCACGCCCGGCATGTGGAGCATGCCATTACGCGATATACTCAACATCATTTTTGGATCCGAAATAAGGAAGATCGATGATCTCAGCGCTGCACGCGCCCAGTAAGAGCGAGTTATCGTTCCTTCTTTACCCATGCAACTGGGACGTTACACTGCTGCGTGACAACTCGCTTCTCCTGATAGCTGACCTTGCCCTGAGTAAGCAATACTTACTGCCGTATGCTCATTGTAGCTATATGTAACTCGGACGATCATAGGCATACACAATCCTTCACGAGACGATCCCCACCATGGGACATAAGATTTTTTCCCGCGTTCCACAGACCCAAGCTCGCTCATGCTCCACCTTCTCTGTTCCTCCACTCGATGGGACACTCACTCTTCCGGAACTCTTTGAATGGCAGAGTAAACACTCTCCCAATCATCGTCTTTTCACCTTCTCGCGAGAGGATGGTACTATCGGGAACATATATTGGCCCGAGGCTATTCGCGCCGTGCATACGGGTGCAAGGATCATTCAGGACCGTCTGGGCGCTAAACACGAGTCAAAGGATGCACCTGTAGTTGCCATACTCGCACATTCTGGTGAGACTTCGCTCTCAGTGTATGGATCGAAGCTAACGGTCTACGAAGATGCCATCCCGTACCTCACCACGCAAATAGGCATTTTACGTGCGAACTGCGTGGCCTTCCCGATTTCTCCGCGCAATTCCCCTGCGGCTACCGCCCATCTTCTAGTCACGGCGAAGGTTCAGCATATCCTCGTTGGTCGGGAGCAGGCGATGCTCGATCTCGCGCACAGCGCGCTCAAGATAATGGAATCTCAGCATCCCTCAACCTCTCTGCCGCAGCTTTCCTCCATGCCGCTTTTTGAAGACTTATACCTTCGCGGCGACGACCTCGCTGACCCTGTCGAGAATATAGCATTCAGCACTCCTGATATGAATGCCACTGCAATGATCATACACTCATCAGGTATAGAATCGGTTTATGTTAGTTCGCTCGTCACGGTCTTCTGATATTGTTCACCAGGATCGACTGCCTTTCCGAAACCAATACATGTCACGCATCGTCGCTTTGTTGAACTGAGTTTGATACCATGGTTCGGCGAGCACGACTTGACAGACAAGGTTCTTTCACTACACGCGATGCCGATGTATCACGGAATGGGTACCATGCAAGCCAGTTGGACGGTGCGTATCACGTGATCGATACAGCTTTTCCAAACATTCTAAACATTGCAGCGTCTGTCAGGCCTCCTGCGGGCTGGTCTTGAGCGTGTTCGAGCCAAAGTCGCCCGCTCTCATACCGACCCCTGACTCAGTGTTACTCAATGCCAAAGCTACAAACAGTGATCTCGTGTTCTGTGTTCCGGCGTTCATCGAGGTGCGCTTGATTCTTCGAGTTCTTCTCATTGAGGTGCAAATGATTTGTACTCAAAGGCATGGTCGAGAAGTCCTGAATATGTTACATGGCTTGCCTCGCGTCAGGGAGTGGTGAGCGTCGACCAGCTTGACTAACGACCCAGCGCTCATGTTATGATAGCTATACGGCGGAGGCCCGTTGGATAAACACACTGGAGATTATCTAACGTCAAAAGGCATATCTATTTACATATTATATGGATCGTAAGTGCTGAAGCTGACTCCGACGATACTGTTCGTGATGCATAAATTGTTCTAGAACTGAAGCTGGGGTCATGAGTCCCGTTTTACCTGGTGCGTGATTTCCATTCGATCGATGTGCATTGCCAACTAACCCCTCGGAAGCCCATGTCGAGTATGACTGGGCTTATTTCAGGTTTCCTGATTATATGAAGACGGAGATGGTATCTTACGGCGACAACACTTTTGAACTAGTCGTAATAGTACGTTTTCTGGACCGAAATCATCAGAGCTATCATTGCTAAAGGGAACGCATTGAATTTTAGGCCAGCGAGTTCAACCAGCCATCAGTTTTGAACACGGTTGTCTCCGGCGTCAAAGCGTATGCGACCTCAGATTTACTTTCACCTCATCCGACCAAACCAGGATTCTGGAGGGTCTATGGCCGCACAGATGACCAAATCATGCATAACACGGGTGAGAAGGTAGGACTAAATTGCATGAAGACGGTTGCGATCATACACTGACTACTCTGTGCAGACCAATCCCGGCCCCCTAGGTGATTGCCTCCCTATTCTCTTCGCAGATAGAGTAACTGAAAGGTGTACCTGTACAGAGAGCATACTCTATCAGGACCCGCATGTGCAATCATGCGTGATGTTCGGCCGTGGTCGCTTCCAAGCGGGCGTACTCATAGACGTAAAGCCGCAGTTCAAATTCGATCCATCGGACGAGGTCGCACTTGCTGCCTTCCGAAATGCGATAATGTGAGCTTACCAGGTATCATTTATAGTAAATTGAATGGAAGTGTAACTGCACTTATAGGCCAACGGTAGAAAAAATGAACGAGTACGCGCCGCAGCACTCGCGGATCTTCAAGGAGGCAAGTAGTGCTCTGTTAAACCAATCATAGATCGCTGATAGCATGTATTCTAGATGATTATTGTGTCCAAACCGTCTAAGCCGTTCACGTACACCGCGAAGGGCACTCCGCGCCGTCACGCCGTGATCAAGGATTACGACAACGAAATCGACGAGTCGTATAAGCTCATCGACCAAAGCACGCTGTCAAACATTCCGGCACCGCCTGAGTGGGATATAGTTGACATTACAGATTTCGTCCGTGCAGTCGTTGCAAAGGTCATGACGCACGATGTCGGCGATCACGATGACCTGTTCGAGCACGGCTGTGACAGGTCAGTCGTCTTCATTCTTGGTGGTAGCTGGAAGCCAGACGGCTCATCTCTAGTGCAGCTTGCAGGCAACGTGGATCCGCAATTCTCTCCTACGAGCGGTACGTAACACTGCCGAGCTGGAAACTCGCAAGTCTGCCAAGAACTTTGTCTACGAGCACCCAATGATTGCCAGCCTCGCTGCCTTCATATCGTCCATGGCGACGGGTATCGAAAACGGCAAAGTAATCTCTCAGCAAGCCCGCGTGGATGCTATGAATGCAATGGTCTCTACGTATACAAAGGCATTTCTGACTCACAAGGAAAGTCCGCGCTCAGCAGCCTCGTCCCTGACTGGGGATGTAGTAGTTCTGACAGGAACGACTGGTAATCTCGGCTGTCGAGTCCTCGCTGAGCTGGCATCGGACTCCACGGTTGCCAGGGTTTATGCCTTGAATAGATCATCGAGCAGTGAGCAGACGTTGTCCGAACGACAGAAGCTGGCGATGGCTACGCATGGTCTGGACGCTGGCTTGTTGCAAGGGGGCAAGGTTATCCTGTTAGAGAGTGACGTTGCTTCGACGAACCTCGGTCTTGCTGAAGATGTGTATGAGGAGGTCAGTAGTCTAACTGTTCTCTCCTCATAAGCAAAGCTGATATGTTTATGCGACAGATGCGCCAAAGTGTGACGCACATTATACACAACGGTAGTTCTCATCCAGGTTCCTCGTTGATCATTGATCTCATTTGACGTCCACAGCCTGGCCCGTGGATTTCAACCTATCTCTGGCATCGTTCGAAAGGAGCGTGAAAGGTTTACGCTCTCTCATCGACTTTGCGCTTGGGTCTCCTCGAGCAACTCCCCCGAAGTTGCTGTTCATGAGCTCTATCAGCGTTTTCCGCAGTGCGTAATGCATCAATGCTATATCCGAACGATTCATAGGCTGACCATTTCTTAGACCTTCAGGGCGGTGATGTGCAGACCGAAAGCCAGATCGGACCCACAGTAGCAGCTGGAACCGGTTATTCCGAATCGAAATGGATAGCGGAAGAGATCCTCTGCCGTGCTTCTGCAGCAACCACTCTCACGTCTGTGATCGTTCGTATTGGTCAAATATGCGGTGGTCCCGACGGGGCATGGAACGCCAGAGAGTGGTTCCCTTCTCTCGTAAAGAGTGCTCAGAAGCTAGGCTGTTTCCCCGATGATCAGAGGGTGCGCCATTGATTCTCTACGTCCTCTTGCAAAACAAACTAATGCATAACTCGCAGACGGTGGATTGGATCCCGATCGATATTGCTGCGACAGCAGTGACCCAGTTTCGTGGTGTTTCACGCACATGCTTCGTTCACCTCGTCCACCCCCGTCCCGTGTCTTGGTCATCCATCGCCGCCGTCGTCGCGAACGATCTGTCTGTCAAGCTCGTTTCATACAAGCAGTGGTTGACAGCTCTGGAACAAGCACGTAGTAAAATGTCCGGGGATGACGATGATGAGACGAGGCCCCTTCGCGCCCTCCCCGCGCTGCTACTTCTGCCTTTCTTCCAATCAGTCCTGAAGGCGCCAGGAGCGCATGCCTTGGGCTTCCCCATGCTCGAAACCACTCATGCGATTAGCTCAGCTGCCGTCCTGCGAGATCCCCGTCTGCGGCAGTTGCGCTCGGGCGACGTGAAGAGTTGGTTGGCTTATTGGCACAAGGTTGGGTTGTTGTCGATGCCTGCGTAAAGATTATGTCTGTATGACGCGACCTGTTGTGATAATTTGATGTTGGCGGGATACATCATCGATCAGATTCATTGTGTGGTTAAAATACGCCGTTTCAAGTTTCATGTCCGAGATGCATGTGCTGAACTTCTGCCTTCGCATCGCTTAACGACGTGTGAAACCGGCCTCGGGAGAAACCAACGAATCAATCAAACAAGGGTGTGGATTACTGATTCCGTCTCTTAAGCGTGTCAGAAACTGATACGGGATGTCATACGGCAGTGCAGTTTTAGTGTTGCTTTTCAGATCTGAGGACACGTTATGTCATGAATGTCTAATAGGTTGACAACGCATTCTGATCGCAGCGCAAACGCTATTGACGTTGTGCCGTGTTCGGCCGAAACGGGCAATGCAATGTTATACGCGGCATATGTCTACAAAAAACTCCTCTCTCTCACGTCAAGAGGCCGTCCATCCAATACAGACCAAATGGCATCTGCCAGCTTGTCGGGATGAGTTTGCAAGATCTGTTCTCGCGTACACGCGCGGACACGGAGTGACAGTCAGCAGAGCCGCAAACTGAGCAAAAAAGCGAGACTGACCAGATGCCCCGCACCCTCAACGAACGTAGTAGACGTCTGCAGGCCCTGCGTCCCCGCAGAGAGCACGTGATCTTTGATTCTCCTCGGTCTACTTTCGCTTAGCGTCGAGGCAGAAAGGAAAAGGAAAAGACATATACGTACATGTAGTCGTCGACGTCACCATATATCATATGCACAGGGTTTGTGGCACTAAGGACGGAGAGATAGTTATATCCGCGGACGCGAGCTGCGTTGTCTTGATCGCGATAGCATGCCTAGAGGATCACACGAGCCGGATGTCATAGCGTCAACACGGATCTCATGAGCTACAGTATTGGAGAGTGGCGTACGGCTTCTTGGTCCTTTGTGCACTTCAGGGTAACGCCTTCCGTCTTGTCTGGGTACTCCGCCGTTGGCAAGTCCCGCATGCCATGCGTCTAATCGCATATTGGGCTGTGAATGAGTGACTGGTGCCCTAAATGGCTCAGCACATACCATATAAATCTGAAGCACTCTGGGATTCCAAGCTTTGAAGTTGGCACGAGATCGGAGCCATGCAAACGCCTCCTCGCGAGATGGGAATACGTCGCGCCGCTTTTCTGCCCCTGCGATGAGAGCAGCCTTGAAGTTTTGAGGGAGTTCAAAGTCTCCGGATGGCGTGGTCATGGGCTCTATCAACACGAAAGACTGAATTTTGGGTTTCGGCCAGTAAGTCATGCAGAGCGTCCTGGGAGGGGGGGGAATGAATGACAACGATGGTATGTCACGCTGGAAACTTACAACGCGACTGCTCCCATGGAATGACCTATACCAACGAGCCTCCGTGTGCTGAAGTCAACGTCGATTCCGCTGCCATGCCCAGACAGGAGAATATGGACGGCACGCGCATAGTCCTCTATGCTAACTGCATTCGCAGGAGGTCAGCCGCCACAACTCCTGGCGAAAGAATGGGAGCAGACGTACAGTAATGGTAACCCCACTTCAGTGTGTGCTCATTCAACACTGCAGCATCTCCGTGGTTGGGGCAGTCCATGCTCCACACGTCACGAATCTTCACTCTGTGCATGCCCCTGGCGGACCTCTGGGAGAGTCTGTACAAAGACTCAATCACCGGTTCCCAATGTTCCTTGTGGTGGCCCGCGCCGTGAGCCAAGATGAGTGTGAGCGCATCCGGATCTTCAGAGGAGATGCGCGGCTCCCAGTATCGCTTTACTGCGATACGGAGGGGAAAGTCTGGACGGGCGTCACATACCAGAGCCTGCGAATGGAGGAGTATCATGACTGTGTCGTCTGACCAGGAGCGAACACAGTGCCTGAGTGGTAGGTACGTCGTGCAGCTCTAGAATGAAAGAGGTGATTAAATATATTGGAAACGAGGATCATCGGAATGCAATTGAGCGAACTCGTCAGCACTGCTAAGGGCGGGTTCCCCCTTCGGGATGACTGGTGATCATCGCAGAGTTTTATTGTTGAGAGTAGGTTCTGATGAAACTCATTTGGAAAGACTTGCTGTGGCCGTGCGGAGATTAATAGATGTCATCCGCGTTGGTCGCGTTATGCCGAAACTTTGAGGTTCTGCATTCCGCAACGGCGGCAAGCCCTGTTTGGGCCTCGCGCCTAGACCTTCTAAGCTTCGCACGCAATCCACAGCGGCGTTCATCTGTATGAAGAAATTGCGTATATCTTGGAAGCAGAACTTCCGGTCCATGGATCACGCGTGAGACCAAGAACCTGATAATCAGAGTCGTGCCGTGCCTTGGGAAAGAAGGACATGCTCGGGTTCACTGGGACTGGAACATCCATTTCCGACCCACCTGTGACTGATGATCATTTTGTGAGTTGGGAGGCCTGATTCGTTAAGGGACTAAGCAGGCGCGAAGAGACTGAGCTGTCGGCGGCAAATGATGTAAGTTTCATGATCAAAACGGATGTGAAAAGGCTGGGCACTTTCTGTGAAGCTGCCGCATCTCGTTGGATAGCTACTTCTACCGATAGGAAGCGTTTACTGGTCGATACTAAGATCATACAGCTAGCTTGAGATTGTGAGTAGCCATGACACGGACATGATTTCTTGGTCGGAGGGGGGTGAGTAGGGGTGCACAAATATGTGGCTGTTGACGGTGAGAGCTACGCGGGAGCACGCGGCACGTACGCGTAGAAACCGCCACTGGCTGGTGACAGATGCATTGCACTGTGTGACTGTGTGACAGTAGTTGACAATGTATTGAACGCTTTGATTCAGCAAAATAATCGAGTGGTGAGATTTTATTTGCGGCGTTACATAATCGCCCGATGTAACCGAGTCAACCAGCTTTACATTGTTGCGCGCGCTCGTAAACTCCGAAGCTTCATACTCGGCGAAATGGCCGCTGCGGAGCTGCCCTTCCTGCGAAAAGTCAGCGCCTTGGATCACACCCTGTATTCTGTGAAGATATGGGGAATGGAACTTGTTGGAGAGCGGCAAAGTAGAGCGCTGATGCGGGGCAGATCTCATAGCCTCAGCGCGGCTCACCTTTGGCGAGGTACTTCGCAGATGCTTCTTCGCATCTTTGGCCATTGCAGTGTTCTCGCGGATACGACGCGAATCGGACATCAATCAATGATACGGACACCTCGGGCGTCTCCACGTCTCCACTTCAGGGTGCAATTGAGCTGGTCAGATTATGATCGCAGAATTTCTGACTTTCTCCTGACATCGTGGCAGTTGTTCCATTCCTGGGCGCGGATGATCAAGGTCCTGATCCGTTCAACATAAGTTTCAAATTCTGGCGGCCTTCCTTCCGCCATACGCGGGCATGACAGAAACCTTTCAGCGTGTCTGGACTGGACCACTTGGAGGCCGGACGCCAACGAGAACATCTGTCAACCAGGGCCTCTCCAGAGTGTTCACTTCGGCGGTAGAATGGGATCGAGCGGGCCAGGACTGAGCAGCGATACCCACGGCGGACTCTGCGCAAGGTTTTCCAAGTGCCGCTCTCTGATGATCTGCCGCGAGGAGTACGAGTTCTCCTGGTGATGTATCGATGATTTAGCTCGCGCTTCCTAGTTCTTCCATCATGGTCTGGTTCTTCGGCGTTCACCTCGCGTTGCCTTATAACTCATCATCCACGGGGGATCTGCACACATTCTTGCAGCCATGAGTACCAAGCTTGCTAGCAGTGCTGATGTCGCCGATAAGAAGTTCGACTTTGTGATCATTGGTGAGCGGCATCTGTTCTTTCTTCTTGCAGTTCTATTCACCTACGGCTGCGACATGAAGGCGGCGGAGTGAGTGTTCTCCAGAGTTAAGCTGACCTTGCACTCACTGTGACACAGACCGCTGGTCTCGCACTCGCCAATAAACTGAGCGAGAACAAGAATGTGACGGTCGCAGTTTTGGAAGCCGGCAAGGCACACCTCAATGATCCGCTCATCCGTATGTTCGCTAGCTATGCATGTCATCTCCACGTCTGACCCAGCACACATACAGTCAATGTCAACTTGTGGCCGTTCCAGATGGTGCAGGAAGAATACAACTGGATGTTCACGACTGTTCCGCAAAGCAAGGCCGCGAACGGGCAGATTCTGTGGAGCCGGTGCGTGACGTCGGGCTGATCCCGCTCTGGAGGGACGATCACTGATGGACAGCCTCAAGTGGCAAGGGATTGGGTGGATCGACGACCATGAATCTCCTGATGTGGACGAGGCCGCATCGCGAGGACATTGAGAGTTCGTATCAGCCTCTGGATACGGTACGTCTACTGATGAGATGCCTGCAGCGATCGGAAGGCTGGGGAACCCCGGGTGGAGCTGGAACCGGTTCTACGAATATTCAAAGAAGACGGAGAGGTGAGTTCTCCGTGTGAGGTCGGTGAGTAGCACTGATGAAGAGCTGGGAACAGGTACGTTCCCACGGAGCCGGTCGAACCTGTTCCTTTCAAAGGCGTGTACAAGCCGCAGTCTGTGGGCCACAATGGTGAGACGATCGGCTGCCAAGGGCAAATCAGATGCTCACATCGTCATCGAAGGTCCCATTCCGATCTCGTTCGCACCTACTAGCTCGAACGCGGAGCTTCCCTTCCAGAAGGTCCGTCTTCTATTTGAGTCCGTGAAGCTACCTCTCACATAGCGGCTACAGAGCATGCAGAAATCTGGATTCGACGTGCCTAGCGACACGGTATGTCGACGTTATATCGACCCACGTAGCTAACATCGGTCATATGCCTATTTCAGTTTAGTGGAGAGGTGTGTGTACTCGACGTTGTGGACCTATGTTGCATGACTGACGCAGTCCTGTCCAGATCGCTGGGACGTGGAAGGTGCCTTCGATCGTTGATCCCGAGACCGGTCACCGAAGCTATTCCGCGAACGTGAGCAACCTACTAAACATGCGAAGGGCGATGAACTGACGATTCGGTTGACAGGGATACCTGCTTCCGGTCATTGACCGCCCGAACCTCAAAGTGTTGACTGAAGCATATGTCACTCGGGTGATCACCTCTAAGAAGGGCGACAAGGTCGTGGCGGAGAGCGTAGAATTCGACTATGGTGAGAAGATCTACAAGGTCAACGTTGGAAAGGAGGCTATTCTGTCGGCTGGGTGAGTGTCCATCGAGGACACACGTCCTGTAAACTAATGAAGCGTGTTGGTCAGCACTATCAAGTCTCCTCAGATCCTGGAGCTCAGCGGAATCGGTGATCGCAAGGTTTTGGAGAAGCTCGGAGTGGCCGTGCAGAATCATCTGCCGTCCGTCGGAGAGAATGTCGGCGACAAGATCACCGCGCAAGTGATAGTCGGTCCGTGTCAGCCATCCTCATCTTATTGCATTTCTCAATTCCTCTCCAGAGATGACCGCCGAGTCCAACGTGGTCAGCAGCAACCTCCTCGCTGACCCTGCCTTCCACGCGAAGCTGCGCGAGTCACTGTGGGTAACTGCTCTGATGCTCGTGTCTTGGATGCTGACACGTCTCGCAGCCCGGGCCTCAAGGGTGATTTCCCGTTGCTCACGACGGGTGTCACGTTCATGCCTCTCCAGAAGTTCTCCAACCGAGCGGACGAGATCATCGCAGGGTTGCGCTCGCGTATCTCGAAGGCGACGCCTGAGCTGAAGGAGGCGTTGGAGGCACAGCTGCGCCTGCTTGAGAACGACACGGTGCCCGACATCGAAGTGATCACGACACCGTTTATTCTGGAGCCCCCGGGTGAGTTACGGGCTTTCCTGCTGTACACTGTAAAGCTAATCGTTCGTCCAGTCAAGGACAAGGCTTACATCCTGTTCGCGCTCTGCCTCTGTCATCCGTTCTCGCGCGGTTCCATCGTCAGTATCGTTGTGAACTGGACAATGTCCCCCATTCACTAACTCGCTTTTCTCTTCTGTAGCACGCCAAGTCTGTCAACGCGAAGGACTCGCCCGCAATCGACCCACAGTACTTCACGGAGCCAGCCGATCTCGAGATCCTGCTCGATGCGGTCAAGTTCGTGCGCAAGGTGGACGAGGTGCCTCCGTTCAAGGACGTGGTCGCTCGGGAGATCCTTCCGGGACCCAATGTGGTCACCGATGACCAGATGCGCGGTCAGTGTCGTTGCTCCTTTGCACGTTTGGCGCGTTGTCTTACTGCTGTCCCGCCTGTGACAGAGACCATAAAGAAGAACCTCGCGACCATTTGGCGTATGTGTCTTGCTGTTATCGCGTGTGACACTCTATGACATGAGAGGTTTAGATACTAATGGAAGCCTGTCAATGCTTCCCGAGGGCAAGGGCGGCGCTGTCGATTCGAAACTGAAGGTTGGCTTACACAGGTTCCGTGATTTGCTGTTTGCTTATTCCGCTTTAGCTCTATGGTACTACGAACATACGCGTCGTGGACATGTCGGTCTTCCCGTTGCCGATCGGTGCTCATCCTCAGTGTAAGTGCACGCTCAGGGACTCGTTGGTCATTGGCTGACGGTGGTGAATCTAGCGGCCGTATATGCTCTCGCTGAGCAAGGCAAGTGAATTGCGTGCTCATTACTGTGGAGGTATGCTAAGGGGATTTACAACAGCTGGCGATGTCATCAAGGAGGAGTACAAGTTGTAAGCAGTCTGAAGGATCATGTGAAGTCTCTGTCTCTTTCCGCGTGTCACTCGATGTGAATTCAATTTGTACGATATTCGTTACGTGGTTGGTCGCTGTCGAATGTAATCGATATGATGAATGGATTGATCGGTCGGACCGAACTGCATGTATCAAATTCGGCAATTCTGGCGAGCTTGATGAGCATGCGCAGCGGGTATGAAAGCCGAACCAATGCCAAATGTCAACAGGAACCTTCCGCGACCATGTTGCGGCTCCCTGCGAAAGTGGTAGCACGAGCAGTCTAGATTGTGATGCAAAGTCCGAGCATCTGTGGAAGGCGCCATAACGCTTTGCCATTCCCACCTGGAGCCGAATGAGAGGTGCCACGTTAGCGCTCGGTACGCATGAGACGCGAGCCTGGAGCGGTTTGGCCGAACGGCTTGAACGCAGCTGAGATGTCAGGACCCTCGGCTGTCACTGTTGCTTGATGATTGCCCTGAGATCTGCAAGCATTCCAACAGATATGGGTGCGGACGATTCTCAACTTGCTGTGGAATCAATCAATCAGTTCTTATTTTGCTTTGATAGCGATCTGCAGACTCCGAGGTAAGGCCCGCGTGATCGTCAGATGTTGTTGATCATGAAGTTCACGCTCAGGCAGGTGCCGGAGGCAACTTTGACGCGGCGTGCATGTGGCCCACAAGTAGTTCACTCCGTCGCACAGGTTTCAGTGGGAGTACGGTCGGACGCGATGTGTACTCTTTTGGCGCGCTGGGCCTCAAACGGTGAGAGGCAGTGTTCAGCGCTCTCTGCACGCCATGATGGCTTCGCATGTGAGGCAAATCACGTTCAATCAGAATCAAGAGGCACGAGAAGCGCATCTTTCCGTCCTTGTATTTGGTCTCGACTCTCACCCACTTCCAATCGGCTGTCATTTTGTGGGAATAGGAGTGTTGAGGACGGGAGTGCTGAGGGCGAACCTAGATGGAGACGCCACAACGATACTAACAGCCGAGAGGACCGAGTCGCCGACCACTCATGCTCCGATCAGAAAGCGCCAGTGCGCCAGCGGTTATCGGCTCTAGGCACGCTAGGAAGCCAGTTACCACTCTACAAGTCCTGTCATTGATGATCATGCGGATACATTTTTCTGATCCGATCTTTGCAACGTGTGAAGGCGATGAAGGTTCGTGCGGGAATAAAAAGTTTTTTGCACATCTGTAAGTACGGTGAAACGCGAAACATTGATGCTCTCTCAGACTTCTTTTCCAGCTGATGTGGCATGGAAACGAAGTTGATGCGCTGTGCCTTAGGTCTTTTCTGTAGCGGCCTAGCAGGCACACGACGATCCATACAGACGCCGACATCAAGCGTCAGCAAATGGCGACGAAGCACGTCCGGAGCGCGGTTTTGGTTTATATTGAGGCGCCGCCCTAACAGGCGTAGGATAATTTGAGCGTTCATGGCTTGATGGCGGCGACGAAGCGTCACTATGAAACGTGATAAGAACGGTTTCTTCGCTCCTCGGAGCGCTTTCTCCTTTTCTTCCATCTCATTCCTTTCCTCCTGGGCAGAATGACAACGTCTTTGGAGGTCAGACTGCTGTACGTTCTTAACTGATACGTTTCCATCAACCAGCTCATGTTGACCATTGCAGCACGGGCCCAGAGGTCGGGATTTCTTTCGTCTCCTCGTATCGCTCATGCTGATTACGAAATAGTTTCTGGGGATGCTCCTCAATTGGGCATTGCTTGGAATGTTGTTTGTTCAAGTCTGTGAGTCTGTGATCAATCATCTCTACCATCATTCTATGTTCATTCAAGCACGAAGATATATACCACGTCTGCTTCCCAAAGGACCCCCTCTCGTTGAGACTCTTTGGCAAGTTTTGTTTGATTTCGTGAATGCATGTGAATTGCTGATTTGTTTTGATATTGATACAGTCTATGGAGTGCTTATCTATGAGATCATCCAATCCGCTCTCATCGCTGCGGTCGGCTTCGACTACTATGTCTACGATTATGGCGACGTCTCAGGACTAACAACGTACCACAACGGATGGTTCAGCGTCCCCGTGATGTGCGGCGTCATGTCTGCTGCGGTGCAATGCTTTTTTGCTTGGAGAATTTGGGTCATATCGAAACTCCGAATCCTTGTAGGAGCCATTGTTACCGTATGTCAATGTTTTCAAGCGTTTGCGAGAGTGTCTACATCTCATTTCAACGATAGATCGCCCTTGCCCAAATGTCGATTGCGATTGTGGGAGGCGTGAAGGTGAGTAATATCTTCAGTATCCAGCATAACAATATTGATGTCTTTGCAGCTGAAGCTTCTGACGTCGACTTCCGATGAGAATACCGTGACACCCTACATTGATGTAAGTTCGTATCTTGTTACGGTGCATTCATCTGAGGGACTGACATATTCAGGCATGGCTTGCTGGCAGCGCACTAGATGACATTATTATCGCCATCAGTATGACGATCTTCGTACGTACATTGCACCTGTTCATCAGCCGCCATCACTATACCTTCATAACGTTTCCAGCTATCGAGAGCAAAAAAGGGCTTCAAGGCATCGGACGCGCTTCTCAATCGTCTGATTACCCTTGTCATCGAGACTGGGTCATTGACAGGTGCTCCACTTCCGCACTAAGATCTCGCGAATATGCGATAACTCAAATCACTGATAGCTACAATTGCGACGATCGATTTGATTCTGTTCACCACGAAGCCGGTACGTTTGTTGTGCCGTTTTTGTCTTAGAAAGTCCCCTCATGCCTTTGCAGCAAACTTACCTGCACACAGCTCCGTATGTACCCCACTATATATTCTTTTTTCATACCTCATCTTCACGCTCCCAGGGTGCTGGTGTTGTCGAAGCTGTGAGCTCTCATTGAAATAATCGTTGACAATTGCTGATGGGCCTGTAGATACGCAAATACCTTACTGATTAACTTCAATAATCGAGCCGTGCAGCGCCGTCCCGACGACACTATCATTTCATTATCCAGGGTTCAACCGGAGGCCTCTGTGTCCAGTAACACGCCACCAGAATACAGCGTCAGCAGAGGCTTCAAGATAGAGGTGGTGCGAGAGACATATACGGACACCGCAGTGAGTTGAACATACTTCATTGGCAAGCATCCAATTTATGGCGTCTAAACGCAAGGGCGGCATGGTGGTGCGCAATGCGGATGCAGCATCGGAAGATGATATTGAGCCCATCAAACGTACGTTTTGCACTGATGGACGGTGCACGTTGCCTAATCGTTTCTTTCTTTCAGCACATTCCCTTAGGGACTGCTGATCGAATGTTCACGGGAAAGCATACTGGAAGCCGGATTCAACTCCGGACTTGGCTATCGATCGCGCGATTGGTCCGTGAAATGGAGTTCAACCTCCATGAACACACTATGGGCTACGACTACTATGAATTGCACATTCCTATGGTTGCCGCGACAGTTTCTCCGTATGCCCGATCCACACTGTTATCCTGGTCGCGTTTGCTCGAATGGCTCTGCCCGCGCACATGTCGCAGGTGTAAATATTCGGCTAAAGAACATGTACTATGGTCTCGTAAGCAACTCCTGTCGACACTCCGACTACTCCTTCCCTCGGCATGTTCTCTCGATATTTTTAGCTTATATGGAACTCGCTGGGGACACGCTTTGCTTAGCGAGCAGTTACCTAGGTGCTAATTTCACATAGGTCTTGAGCGACTGTCAATATGATCTCGTTCCAAGATATCGAGCTGCGGTAGTAAGATTCTATCGTCGCCATCCACTACTGTTTTCGAGCTCAGCGGCATCAGGGCATAACCGGTTGCCGGCATTTAATGCCTGAACGACCGCTCGCGCATTACGCTGGATTGCTCGTAAATATGTTCCCTGATTAATCGAGATATCGGCCGTCTTTGGGCCCTTCGCTTCTACCTATGGGTGATATAGGAAGTCTATACTCGAAGGCGACATACGAAAAACAGACACTCAGAAAGGTACGTCTACGCCCTCCTCAGGCCGTGCATTGTTATTCACAACGATAGCCGTCGTCACATACATGGCACTGATGTTGCCACTTTGTCCCTGTAATGATGGAAAAATCATGCATGAAGTCTCTTCCTCGCTTCGCCGTGTTTGTCAGGTTCACGATTTGGCCTGATGGTGCTCAGCGGGCGATCGTACACCGATGAGCACAGCAACGTAGTCATTCTATGTGCTTGCGGTGTCTTCATTCTGCAAGGTGAGGATGCGTTGTGCAGGGCCGTGCACATGCGCAGGAGGTATGGACATACGGACATATGTGCAACGATGTGGACGATGCACCATAAATATAGACTGATATATGCGCAGTGTATGAAGCTCGCCGTCGGCGGAACGTCGCTTGTGAACGCTGGAGAGATCACGCCCATTAATGCATGCCAATCGGTTCCGCATACATATACACCCATGACGGGTCCACGTGGCTTGTATTAAACTTCCGTCTGGAGTACGTCCTTGGAAATATGCTTGGAAGCGCCATCTGAGACGGCTGTCTCTGACCAAACAACGCTGCAGTCCGAATGCAGCGCCGACAGCCTCGCTTCTGACAGCAGCTCGCTCGACAAGGCCACGCCGCGAGTGACTCGCAGGATGATGAGCTCCGGAGCGATGCACTGTATCAAATAGGCATCAGATAAGCCAGCCATTTGTAAGCAGCTCAGAGGGGACGTACCGCAACCTGCAGCAGCAGCGGGATGAACAGGTCTGCTGCCGTATTCTGTAGGCCGTAGAGGATGATGAACACAATCGAGATCGTGCTGTAGGGAAGGGCGGACTCCAACACCATTGCGGCTATCCCCGCGTATGTCTTTCCATGCGCTTGTCCTAGTGGTGTCGAAGCGATGACGTGCCGCATGTAGAGAAGTCGCGAGATGAGGAGCAGCGTGAGGAGGATGTTGAGCGCGATCGATAGCGACCAGTACGGAACGGAGAAGTCCAGCGTTCCACTAGCCCAGAGGCTCGAGTTCGGACGGGCGGCCTGAACTGTAGTGAGAACGGATAGGACTGGCGCATGGAACAGACTAGGTGAAGGTCGGGAGAGGATGATGAACGATTCGCCGTACCAGCGGAGGCTAACCACATGAGAATGGGAATGATCATAATCCACCAGTTCATCCAGACGATGTATATTCGATAGACCTGGCAGTTCGGAACATCAATATGGTTATAGAAAATCGTACAGAAATTGTCAGACATACCAGTATACCATCGGCGAGAAACGTAGCTACGAAAGCAGAAGCGTTCCCCGCAGTATTGAAACGACTTGCTTGCTGTTCCAGCAGGAACGCAAGCGGGCCGCCCGGATGATTACGATTGTCGATCCACGCCATCTCGTTGAAGTGGATATTCATGCTGATGTTTACAGTAGCCATGGAGAACAGGACTACGATCAAAGGCATCCACCGCAAAAATCGCCTCTTTGTTGCTACCTGGTACGCGCATATAAAGAAGATTGCCATGTGTATGCCTTCGCGAGAAACAGTAGAGGCATCAAGGCATGAACAGCAAAGGACCAATACAAACGCACCGTAGGCAATCGCGCCTATGTAAACTGCCGCATTGTTAGCTTGCTCGAACCATATCTCTGCCGGCGACTCGTCTGGAGCGTTAGGATTGGCCATGTTGGGGGCCAACTGATGGGGCCAACTGGAGATCGTCGAAGGTGCGAATGACTGCGTCGCACCAATCGAAGGTTCAAGGGATGCTGCCAGGATATCGGGTAGACGCGAGCTCAGCCGTCACGGTCACAGATGCATGTGCGAATGGCTAGCCTGCAAGATACGTTACCGCATGACATTAGGAGGACAGGCTGCTGATGTGTAAATCACATAAAGATGCGCGCGGCACCGTACATGAACAAATCCACTAAATGAATTGATTCGTTTGCGGACCCTGCTGCAGAACTGGCTAGAAGCATTAGCATAGCCTTCTCCCGCATCACAAGCAATTTGCTATGAGGGTTCCGTCACGAAATGAATTCGCATGGGAGCGCAAGATAGGTACCCGAGAGTCAATGGGAACGATGACAGACGAACCGGGGTGATGCTCTACGGCTTCTAAGTTTTCCTCAAAAGGATAGCAATGGAAGCTCCATGATTGTCAAACGGTCAGTGTCGCAGCGATTGTTGGCGGACCTTTCATTGATAGCTGGGGTTGAGGGCGCACAATTGGCCCGTCGGACATAGTGACTTCCACCACCATCAGAGAACCTGATACAGACCGCCAGACCCGCATTCTTAGTAGTGATGATGATGGGCATTGGGCACCCGCGCGAAATGCCAAGTAACATGGCGTGCTTGCATATAAGTCTATCACGCGTGGTAGGAGAGAGAGCGGACGTCCGTTGAGCTCGCAGTCTTGCTCATGGAAGTACTAGCTCAAGTTCGTGGCCACGCCGCGTGTTCCGCCGGTGATCGCGGTGCAATGATCTAAGCGGCGCTGCTGAATTCCTTGCTCATAATCCGAAGTGAGCTCGACTGGGAGATGCGAGAAGGTGTGTGAAGGACTCGCAATCGGAGAACATTACTTGGGCAGCCATTGTACGTGAACCGCGGTGGATATCGAATCTTTACATGGCTGGGGGTCGAATATCGAGTCCCGGCAAAAGGCGGAGTTCAGACTCTGCACCGAACGCTACCGACGGTAGACCTTGGACTGATCCTCGATGACCGTCGTGCTGTTGGCGACGCAGGACCGTCAGACGTGCTGAATCACTCTCAGTACGATGCCTCCGACCTACGTAAGCGATTATCGATGATGCCTGAAAGCGAACTTACACGATGCTCGCAACTCGACCGGACATATGATATACGATCACAAGTTACAGGCCTGAGGGACAGCTGCTCTGCACCATAGCTCACTCTATGCAAGAAAGCCGCCTGTCCTATTGGCCGTATTAGCAGACACCTCGGTCAAGTCACAATTTCAGAGAGCCATTCGCCATCTGCCTGTAAATGTCATGCTTCTCCCAGAACGGTGGGTCTATCGACTTTTCGAACGTGGCCCACTTCACCGTCCTCAAAGAACCGTGCGCACACATTTCTGCGCGATGTCTCCCCGCCCATTGTTGACGAGTGTCAACACGCGGACGAGGTGCGGACGGTCGATGACAGATCTGTTGTTGAGGCTTCCACAGGACGAAACCAGTCTGGGGCTGCGCTGAGTGCTGCGCTTCCTCCGGAAACTCTTGAAGCAGCTACATGTTCGGCTCCTTGCACAGTCTGGACGCCGCAAGCGAGTCGGAGAGAAGGAAAGCTGCCTGCGGATTCCGAACTCGGACACGAGGATGCGCTATACGGGTGTCCCAGAAGGTCGAGCGCGTTTTGGATGGCGAAGTGGTCGAGCAGGTCGACGGCCCAAAACGTCGGCGGCTTCTGCTAGAGGTGCGTCGTGAGCGCTTATTTCTGAGCTGGTTAAGAGAATGTCAGGATCATGCCGTCCATCATGAACACGGTGAGGTTGGCCATGATTGCGAGAGGGCTGCGGAACGCGTTTGAGAGGCCTCTCGCTACGGATTGCATGTGCACACTCCAAGGGTATGGTAGGGTTGGAGAGCGGTGTATGACGAGGTGTGGCCCATGGTCTCCACTGGATGTCGTCCCCGTGTCATGCCCTTCAGCCAGAAAACATCATAGATAGATGTATCATCTGCGACATAAGCATTATCAGAATGCATTGAAGCTGCATGGCCGGCAGGGCTTACTCATACTGTCGTCATTGTGGTTTTTAACCGGGTCCGAATCACTCCTGCAGAGCCATTGAGGACAGCAAATAGATAACATTGGCCAACCGCTGCCACAGAGAAGCCAGATGTTGCGATAGTAGTTGAACGTTGTTGAACATCGAAATATTGATGCTGAACGTTTGGACACAGGATGCAAAGTGAGCAGTTCTGTGGCCTGTAGCCAACAGCATATGGATCATCGATTACCTCGTACATGAAAATCATGAACTTCTACTGTCATAGCTGCTGATAGCAAGGCAAAGTACAATCCTCGTAGTACACGAATAAGACCAGTTTTCAGACACCCCGCTAAACAAGCGTAAGTGGAGACGCTACAGCGATCGATAAGCAGGTATAGTACCAGCACAGCATGCGCGCAACTCTGCACTTAGCTAAATCAGATCATCCGGAGATGTCTTCGTGTCTGCAGGAACCTGTGAGTCGTCGTGCAGAATCATCATGGATAGGTCATGGGTCCTCGAGCCGTCCGCCGATCGACCCAGTTGGCCGCGGAACGTCACATTCCTCGGCCCAACCTGGCGGAGAATGTCCATCGACCATGCATTCCCACTGGCGATGCGCATGATGATCAAGTCCGAGACAATGCCCTGGCAAATACACATTCTCCATATGAGTGCTAGTCAATCAATCCGTGAGCTGACGAAATGCCAACCTCGAGTTGCACGAGCAGGGACAGGAAGAGGTTCGCGCCGATGTTGCGGACACCATACAGTATTAGGAAAAGGAACGACACGAGGCCGTACGGGAATGCTGATTCCACTATGATGGCTTCCAGGCTGGTGTAGGTCGTCCTGGCCTGCTCGTTCAGCGTAGCAGGAAGCTTCCGCCGAAGGTCGACGAGTCTCCATAAGAGGGTGATAACCAAAAGGACGTTGAGGGACATTGCGAGCGATGCGTACGGCACTGATAGGCTGAGTGTCGAGTCGTCCCAAGCACCACCAGTTGCACGAGTGGCCTGAATGCAGTGCAGCACAGACATCACTATAGAGCACGTTCATAATAACAGGATACAAGACAGTGGCCGGGACTCACCTGTTGAGGCAATCAATATCACTAGCAAGAATGTCGTAATGTAGAAGTTGCGCCACAAGGCATAGCAACGAGCAATCTGACAGCCGGTGTCAGTTAAGGTGGCGCAGTGACGGAGCGATTGCAAGACAAACCAAGAGTCCATCTGCGAGGAAGAACGTAATCACGGAAGTCGTAATCGACGCAGCGTTCACTGGCAGGGACTGTTCATCTGAGAAGAATGCGATCGGTCCTCCAGGGTAATTGCGCTCGTCAATCCACGCCCTCTGGTTGAAATTGATGTTGCAGCAGATGCTGATCGTGGTCAGGCTGAACATGGTGAACGCGAAGATGAGCCATAGATGATGGGCGGTTCGCTTGCTGTGCAGTATCGAGCGAGTAGTTGCGTAGAATATGGCTGTTTGCAGCCCTGGGAGAAGTGTGTGAGAGACTCGAAGGGATGAATGGCATGCAACATGACTGACCCCAGGCCATCGCGCCGATGTAGACGGATGCGTTGATGGACTGTTCATACCACAGTTGCTGAGAGGTCTCATCGGTAGCATACGACGTTTCCCCCGCGGAGGATGCAGCAACAGTGGAGGACGCCATCGCAATGGGCACAATTGTACGTAGCGAGTCTGCAAACCTAGGGAGCCCGCTTTTTTACTAACCGAGCTACGTGTTGGCGATCAAATGGCATTGAAAAGACTTAGATGTAAACCTACGCGTTCTCTGGATGCCCCCAATAAGCCATCGTCAGTGCGGGAGCGATTGCTCCGTCGTTCGTGTCACAGCATGCATCAAACCCTACATGCTTTCGGATGGCATGCATAGAGACCCCAGAACCGTAAAAGCAGGGAACTCAAGCGATGAAGCATTTGCAATATCATCAACTATATCTCTGACAGCGCGTGTGACGGGATGAGCCTTGCCTGATTGAACATTGATAGTACCCTGTCAATGATCATGACAACCGGGGGGGGGGGTCGCCATGAAGGTCCGAGGTGTAGACACATGATGTGCCTGCAATCACGACTATCCTATTCAGTGATAATCAAGAAGCCTTGGCGCGGATGATTGAAACCTTTCCGCGCGAAGTTGATGTGGCCGCCTTGTTCCTGGGGCCTGAAGCTGCACGTTTGCTCAATGGTCACACGTGCCCCGCGGTCTGACTGGGAAACATGCAGGTGTGAGGACTCTGAAGTTTTGATCTAACGAGCAATTAATCGACCAGCATTCCACGGTGAGACCAGTACGATATTCGCTACAAGAGGTTACGAAGTCAAGAAGCCTTAGGCGCGCGTCTATGTACTAGTACTACGCGGCTCAACTATTCACGGCGCTGGCCTCTGTGGCTACGTATTTCTTTTCATCCTCCTTCCAGTCCAAGTAACTGTTCTCTACCCAATCCCTCACCTGCACCCAATCTCGACAAACGTGTGTGACCCCAGTGCCGTAAGCCGCCTGCGTTTTCCTACCATCCACGTTCTGCGTCGCGAATGCAGGTTCCAGCGTGATATCGGCACTGCACAGCACCATCTGCCGCAAGTACGTGAGACAATGGAGTGCATGTGCACCGTCGTGGTCTGCGCGCGAATCGTTTCGCCCATTGAACATGCGGCGGAAGCTATTGAGACAATGCATCTGGTGATACATCGACACCGCGTAGTAGTCGTCGTCGGTGGGTTCCTTGTCTCCGGTGGCAATGCGGACGAACCCGTGACCGTGCGGTATCACGGATGCCCAGTCGTTGTCGTCGTGCATGCCATACCGGTCTGAGTCGACAACTTCCAGAGCCGCCTGGTGAGGGTTCATGGGTAGTCTTGATGGCCGTGCGCCAGATGAGCTTGTGCTGGCGATCGCTAGGTAGCATCATCCACGTCAGCCATGCTGTAGGTGAGTGGTCGAATTCAGGTGCGTACCATGCATTGAAGACACGGTAAACACAATTCCCAGGCCATTCAGCAAAGTGGAGACGATGAGCGCGAACACTCCAGTGTAGACCACTTTGTCGGGTAGAACGTAATGGTTGCGAAGTTCGCGCAGCATAACGAAGGGCAATAATGAATGAGCAGATCGTCTCGGGCTTATGTATATTCCTTCAACTAAAAAGGTGAGGTATGACCCTGAAGACTGAAGGTGATACTGATTTCATATTTTCTTTCTCAGCCAAACTCTCTGTACCAAGTGATGCTCGTCCGTTTATGGCGTACGTTCTTATCATATTGAGGAGCTCGGCTGTTCAGGTTATGTATTCAATCGCAATATCCCAGCCTCCCTGCCACCGTGCCATTCTGAGCATGCGCTTCTCATCGTAGTACTCGTGATGATCAGACGTGTAGCGACTGTGGTCATTGAACACCGCAATTGATATTGATCGCGTATGAAGTTGTCACACAGATACGCCGAATCAATCGCACTCCCGCTCAGCACCCGATGTCTACTCCAATGCCAAGAAATTGCCGACCACCTGCAGATACCTCTCCCGCTCCTCCCAGAACGGCGTGTGACTGGAATTTTCGAATGTGATCCATCTGGCATCCGGAACGTATTGGTAAAATGGAGCTACCACAAAGTCTTGCGCGATGTCGCTCCCACCATTGATCACAAGGGTAGGCACGCGAATCCGATGTAGCCGGTCGATGATGCTCCAATCCTGCAAGATCCTATCCCCATTCGTCCATCGGTGAGTTGTCATCGCATAAATTGCACATTTGACTTACGGCGCGCTCGCGACGGTCGTGTCGCCGTCTTTCCCGAAGATTTGCTCAAAGGAATACATGAACTCTTTTGGCATCGGCCGGACCGTGCAACCATGCACCTGGTTGAATTTCCGCATCGCCTCTCCGAATCGGTTCGGATCTACCATGCCGGCTATAATTCCCTGTTGGACGTCCTCAGGGAATGCTTGCATGAGCTGCGCAGTCGAGCGGCCCCACAGCTCCGAGGATGCCAGAGTGTTTGATAGGATGAGATGTTTCAGCCCTTCGGGTTGCTTGCGGACCGCATATTCGGCCCCTAAGACGCCGCCCCATGAATGACCTAGGAGATCAAACGAATCTTGGACGGCGAAGTGCAATATCAGATTCATCAGCTCGTCAAGGAACAAGTCAATCGACCAAAAGCTTGGATCTTTTTCGCGGAGGTGCGTCGAACGTGCGCCGCCAATCTGGTCGTAGAAGATGACGGGGACGGACGCATACGTCGCGAGCTCGGCGATCGGGAGGAGGTAGTCGTGGGAAAGTCCTGGGCCTCCATGGAGGACGACAAGAGCGGAACGGCTGCTCGTGGAGATGTTGCCAAAGATCTTGTAGTACGTGTGATACGTTTCGCCTTCGTATACAAACGGGACGGTGCCCTCGTTGATGACTGGCGAAGAGGCAGTGGCAATAGCACCGAAACAGGCCACGGTTGTGAACAGAGCGAGCAGCGTGCTGCACAAGCGGGCGCCGACTATCATCGTACGATGAAGATGAGACTTGGATCGGATTCGCACTTACGTTATGAGAGTGAGTGGTATATAAATTGTGAGCACCCTCACATTTCTGACAAGTCTCAGCGAGAGATATCCAGTAGATGCTTGACGTTGCGCACTGTGACAGGTGACTGATGGAAAGCTAACGCGCACAGTGAATTTGAGCGCTTGCCATCCCTACTCGTCCCCCCTGATGGCGAGGAGATTAGAGCCCCCGCTGGAGAAGATTGGGAACCAGCTTCACACACAGTATGTCGCGCGATAGAGATTAACTCCAGCATGTCTCTATGCGCCCGAGCCATGCATTCTGCTGAAGTGAAGTCGCTCGCAGGACAACGGACAGTCACGATTACACCTTCGCGATGCGCTTCCAAAGCGTGATGTCTCTCGCTCTGTGGCTTTTAAGTGTCATCAACCTGCTCTACATCTTGCGATCGTTCAAGGCGTTGATATCACGTCCTCAACTGCAATACTGTAAGTGTTAATTTATTATGTCAGACTCATCATGGCTCTCTCGATGTCTCATACGCGTGCAGCGTACCGAGGCCACGATCACCCACAATATCTCCCATTTAGCGACGAGCTCGTCGAGATGGTCATCGAAGAGAGCGTGCACTATCCACTCCAGGGCCTCGCCTCCGACGGCCAGTGGGACTCGCTGTCATCCGAGAGCTACGGATACGTGAGGCTGGGGACCGACGATCGCCTGTTCGCCGTGACGATGTTCCACGAGCTGCACTGCCTGCGCATGTTGAACTTTGCCTTTGGCAAAGAGGGCATTGCGACGCCCGAGCACATACGACATTGTCTGGGATACCTTAGAGACGGGATATTGTGCACGCCGGATCTGACGCTCGAGCCGGGGGATTTCGAGGAGAGAGACTTTGAAGTGGAGAGGATGGGGGCGACGCATTTTTGCAGGGACTGGAGTGCTGTGTATCCGATTATGGACGAGAACTACGCCGTGTGGAAGGCAAAGCCCTCTTGAAGGTAGTCGTTTCCGTCCTGAAATGTTCATTTTGTTCGTTCTAAGCTTTGCACGTTTCAGGATTTACCATTGGGTCCCTGCTAGAGCTGCAATAGTGGCTCAAACGCCACTCTGCCAAGTATCCAGCGACGTGGTTCCGTGTCACCAAGTCATATAAGCATAACCTACGAGGTTGTGCTCATATACAACCTCCAGTTCTCCTCAGCAGCATCAAACACCGCCGTCCAGTCCAGACACTCATGCGTAACCTCCCACACCGTCAGCCCCTTCCCCTTCGGTGCCCTCACTGACTCCAGGCGCGTATCCGCCCGGCACAGCACCATCTGCCTCAGATAATGCATACAATGCTTCGCCAGCGCCGCGTTCCCAAACGTCGCATCCGGCGCATCGTCTGCGTACAGGTCGACCAGGGACGCGCGGATGATGTCGAGGCAGCGCAGCTGGTGGAGGATCGAGACGGTAAATGGGCGGTGGTCGGGGCCTAAGTGCACGATGGCGCCGCCGCTCGGGAGGCTGGCGTTCCACTCGGCGAGGCCGACAGTGCTGGTGAGGTTGTAGTGGATACTGTGCGAGCGGGTCAGCCCTACGGGCGCGGGAGGAGGGAGGGGCCAGGTGCGCGGGTGGTCTCTGCCTCTGTAGGCTGCGCGCGCTTGAGTGGCCTGCAGACGCATCGGAACGTTACTATGGGGGACGCACTGTAATTGGAGCACTCTTGGCGCTCTAGACGAGTGTTTGAGAGGGTTTGCGAGATAGTTAATATCATCAAGGAGGTGAAGGAGAGAAAAAGGAGAGAGTATGCTCCTTTCTGCCCTATTCATTGAGATTCAATGGCGTTCAGAGATTCTCGCAGGTAACGATTCAGAGACGACCTACTACTCGTGCATTCTCTGAGAATGATCTCGACTGCGCTCGCTGTTCTACGGCGGCGGCTCATGTGTCTGGTGGGTCTATTAAGCTCCCTGCGTGGCTATGTGCCTTTATATAGAACGCTTCCATCAGCGAATACACCAGCAACGAAATGGAGGTCCATATCAGGGCAGGTGTGAGCTATCGACAAGTCTATCAATTCGGTTTTTGTGGTTATTTCTCTCATGTGTTTTGCTCGCAACACAGGCTATCGCGACCGCATCGTCTACACAGCAGTAACGGTGATACATGCTCAGTGACGCCTTTATACATACAGTCAATCAAGATAATATTGGAACCTCAACATAGGCAACGGCTCTGCTAACTCAGACAAGCAGTCACTGTAATCATGGCGCTCGGTCAATACTCAGACTGGCTAAGGGGACTAATAGTTACTTACTGGGCATTGAAGAACACCCGGCGCTCAAAAGCATAGCGCTAGCGTGGGTCCTTTGTACTCGCCGCGCTTTTCGAGGTCTTCGGCATCGCAGTCTACCTCATCGACTAAAACCGCGCAAAAGAGTTCATCATAAATGAAAGAATGCCAGGCTCCACTGCGTACCGTGCGGGATGGGCGCGGAGTAAGTCACGGCCGCGAGGGCGAACAACACCAGTAGAAGATTGAAGGTGCGCATGACTTTCGGGGCGGAGACAAGGTAAAGGGCCGCTCGGCGTGCAGGGACGATTTACCCAGGAGACTCTTTATGTGAGCAATATTGATATCTTCTCTGCTAAATTGGAGGTGACAAGTGCGAGTGACAAGGCAGCGTCACTCGGAAGAAACCACAGATGAAGAATGGTGCGTACGTTCAGACTTGCTGGAAAGCGCGGTAAGGAGTGTGAGGCACGTTCGTGGGCGCAAACAGGCCGCGCATGCGGAGACCTGCATCAGATGTGCGCATCCGAGGCTGTTCGCAATTGGTGCGATGATTGCTGCACGGCTTCGTATAGCTCCCACTTCGTGATACATTGATGTTCAGCGGGTGCCTCTGCACAACGGATCTTTGAAGGTTGGAAGGACCCCGAGGGACTCTGCGCGCGCCACGACGAATGTCACTGTCCACTGTCAGACTGCAGCCGTGCGCTCGGATACGCGCTAACGCCCATTGATATCAATCATCATGCAGCAAACATCAGCGCCGCGCGAGTCCCACCAATGTCGTAAACGAGTGCTAGGCGCATTCAACGGCAAAGTCTGAACACTCCCGCATTTCGACTGCGTTTCCTGTCAAGCGCATTGAGACGTTTTCCTGACAGTGAGTTTCCTAGTCGAGCTCGCTCTTCGTCTCATCGGACGTCGAGCGGCCAGGCGGGTCGCGCCTTCACTACGCGATAAGACAGATATCTTACACATACCGCACAAGGACCCTGAAAATTCGAATTGGCTGCCAAGCACCCGGTGCGATCGCTGTTCCCGTTCTGTGTACGTGTCGGCTCATTAGATGCTCTCCATGCCCAGCACGATGCATATGGCCACTCCACGAGGCAAGGCAACACCTCGGGCTATGCCTTTCTTGGCTCGGAGAACGTTGTTGCGCGTGCGTGTCATTAGCGCGCGAGCTCCGTCTGACCGCATCTCCCGCTGTTGTCGGCAGATGGTCTTCGCTTGCTACTACAAGCCAGACCATTTCAGAATCGGAAGATGCTTAGATCGGCTGGCATGGGAATATGCATTCGTTGGTGCGAGGCGTTCCCATGTCGCGGTTTTTGATCGGGAACTAGACGGGCTCCGGGATCCTAGAGCTTGCGGGATACGCGTATCAACCTCCCGAGATAACGTCGAGGCCAGGGTCAGTCGGCATAGAGGACATAAGCCCCGTTGCGCGGCAAATCGAGCACGGCCAGTGATTCCAGGTATTCCACTTGAACGTACGTTCACAGTGCTGTTCAGTCACACCGCATATACCTGCTCAACCCACACCGCAGCAGACTTGCGAACCGCATCGCGCACCGATCGTCATGAAGCCAGCCTACGTCTCCCTTCCCAGCTCCTCGCAGGACGACTCCGAAGACAAGCCGCTCGTCGGCTCCCCAGACGTGGAGGAGTACTTGTCCGCACACAGCACCTCACCGCGCCTGGCGATCTTGATCTACGTTCTATGCGCCATGACCATCCTCGTCGCCGTCATCAACTTTATCGTGCTCGTCGATTTGCGCAGGTTCAAGCTGGAGGGTGTGTTGAGTATCGGTGATTTGCCGCGTCCAGATATCTTTGCGGGTCTTCCGGATTTGCGTTCTACTGCTGGGTCGTAGGATGTTCGTATGTATGTGATTGCTGATCCTCGAGGATAGCTGCTAATGTTGGCTGATAGAACGCTATGGGTCAATGGCAGACGGTCGTGGCCCAGATACCGACTGTGGTTTCGAGAGTCCAGAAATTGTTAAAGTGTCGAACTTGCTCTATGTGACTGTATCTTCAATAATCAGATTGTAAATATCGCCACCGTCGTTGCGATAGCCCGTTATACCGCAAATTATTCGTACATGATGCACAATTTAAAAGAGGCTCAGAGAGCACGAGTCCAACCGTTATGTGCTGGTGATGTTCGAGTCCTCTCCGGTGATGGCAGGCCCATATGTATCCTTCCACTCCGCATAATTCTCCTCCACATACTCCCGGACCTGTGCCCAGTCATGACAGCGATGCGTCACGCCCACGCCCGTCACCGTACTCGCGACCCGTCCGTCCGTCGTGAGCTGCATGTGCACCGCAGGCTCGAGCGTGACGTCGGCGCTGCACAGCGCCAGTTGGCGCAGATATATGAGGCAGTGGTCGACGTGCACCACGGCGCGTTCGGTGAGGTTGGCGCGTGCGAGGAAGTACGTGCGCAGTGCGCGGAGGCAGTGGAGCTGGTGATAGTGCGAGAGGAGATAGTGCTGCCCGTCGGCGGGTTGGTAGATGAAGCCGTCGCCGGAAGGGAGGAGTGAGTCCCAATCGGAGTCGGGACCATAGAGGCCTAGGCGGGAAGATTTAGTGGTGGTGAGGGCGGCGGGGCGGACGTGTATTGGGAACTCGAGGACGTCTCCTGGATGCGAGTCTGCAGAGGTGTATGGTTGGTATATCGATGGGAGTACAATGGATACTTTCGAGATTGTACTCACTCCGATGTGTCCGCAAACGCACGTACGAGGCTATCGTGGCAACATGGACAAGCATAGAGAGGGCGATCGTAACAATAATACATGCCAAGGCGGTTGTGGATAGTCGGTGGCCTTGATTCCGGGGGGCAGCCATCGCGCTATGATCATGAGCCTATGACGCGCAAGAGCAGCAATGGCGCGCGTCAGCAGCTAAGTCGGAAGCTCGAAGGATGGATGAAAACTACTCACAGAAACACTGAACTCGATTCAGCGACTCGCGAGCGCGCGAAACGTTAGCAGAGCTAGGTACAGCGAATCGCTCTCTACGAGATGAACAGAAACTTTGAAACCAATCCCCAAGTTCTCAGTGCTGCCAGATCAACGGGGATCAGAGCATGACGAAACGGTGCGCTCGTAGAAACTGATGTGGATGCGGTTCTCATGATATCCGTTTGATGAAACAGGCCCAAGTATGCGCGAATACAATGTTAGAGCCTGTGTGCGAACACGGAGCCCGCGTGACACGGATTTCAATGTCAGTTTGACACGAATTTCAATGTGAGATTAAAGCGGACTTGCACAGATTTCCCACAGATCGGCAGCCCCGAGCAGCGCGCACTGCCCTCCGGCCACGCCGCCGATGACGGACAACTCTGCACATGTACATTTACATGACAATATTACAAGACCATTGTGGTGTCCAATCAGGCGATGCTTCTGCCGCCGATGATCCTTCCCTAGTAGCTGGCTGTAGGGTTCCTTCGTCCTAGTAAATACGGCGCAATGCCTGGCGAAGGTCGTCACTGTTCCCCGGTGCCCGTCCCGCCGTACCCCTCTCTCCAATCCTCCCTCTCTTCAGGCAAGTGCGCATGCAATCCGTGGCGCGGGGCATCTCACACGCGTTCCGCAGGTTCTCCCGTCCCCTCGCTACCATGGCCAACCCCACCGTGTCCATGACGGACGGCACGATCCCGTTCACCTACCAAGGCGAGACCTTCCAAACGTACTACAAACTCTTCGGCGACCTCGCCAGCCGCACGCGCCCACCGATCGTCATCCTCCATGGCGGGCCCGGCCTCACGCACGACTGCATGCTCCCGTTGTCCGACCTCGCCGCGGCGTCCATCCCCATCATCCTCTACGACCAGCTCGGCAACGGGCGCTCGACGCACCTCAAGGAGAAGCCGCCGACGTTCTGGACCGTCGATCTCTTCATCGATGAGCTCGTCAACCTGCTCGAGCACTTCGCCGTCCAGAACGCGTTTGACCTCCTCGGCCACTCGTGGGGCGGTATCCTCGCGTCCGAGTTCGAGGTCCGCAGGCAGCCCAAGGGGCTCAAGCATCTCATCCTATCGGACTCGCTCGCGGCGTCGAGCCTGTGGAACAAGTCAAACATGCAGCTGCTGCAGGAGTTCCCGAAGGAGGTGCAGGAGGGCATGGGAATGGGAATGAAGGACCCCGCCAAGTTCTATGCTGCGCTGAAGCAGTTCCATGCGAAGCACGCGTGCAACGTTAGGCCGTACCCGAAGGAGGTGCAGCACTCGTTCGATGCCATCTTTGGTCCTGACGGCGACCCGACCGTGGCCGGCGCTCCGTAAGTCTCTATCCTTCGCTCAGCGTGCTCCCCCATCGATCTTGTATGGCAGGATCCTTAACAACTGGTCGATCATCGACCGCCTGCACCTCGTCCGTGTGCCGACATTCGTGATCAACGGGCGCGGAGACATCGCGCAGGACTTTGTTGTCGCGCCGTTTTTCGAGAAGATTAAGAAGGTTAAGTGGGTCACGTTCGAGAACTCCACGCACACACCCTTCTGGGAAGAGCGCGAGAAGTACATGAAGCTCGTTGACGAGTTCGTGCAGCTGGAGTGACTCTATTGGGCTTGTCATCCTGGGAGGAGCCGGATAGGTAGTGTGCAGGTTGTAATCGCATCTGGAAACTGTAGTATCTGAAGAACAGTGTGAGTAGAGTCCACAGCGTGACAAATTCTGCGTGTAATGGTCTCATTCATAGAAAGTACAATGGCCGCAAAATGTTGTTTTTGGCGAATCAAACCTACTCCCTGATGACATCAACGAACCGCTGGGGTTCCGCACCCCTTCTCATGACCCTTCCAAGACAACGAGCGGCTCTTCGAAGGTAATCCTGATCCCAAACGGATGCACATCGCAAGGCACCAATTAAATATGGGCGGTGCATGAGTCATCGACGGGGTCAGGGACGTGCGGAACGACTGATGTGGACGTGACGGGGATGGGGTGGTATTGACAGCTACGGCCACAGTGCGGGAGGATCGAATACATACTGATCAGCATCGCTCGGGTTGGGGGACGCTGGGTGCCGGGGCACAAGTAGAAGAGCTTGAGGACTCGCTACGTTGACCTCTCGTTGACGATCCTGTACTGCCTTGAGGTGCTGGACGTTGATACGCCACGATGAACATGCATTCTTCGACGAGCACTGCTAAATACCCACGGACAGGCGGGTCTCGGGCGACGCTATGGGAGTGCTACCGGGTATGCACCCTGGGTACCGGGTTCGGGATTTATCCGCCAACTGTTCGTCGATGAACTCCGATGATCCCACAGCAGCATCATCGAATCAGTAGCCTATCTTTTCGCACCCACTTGATGCCCAAACGCAAATGAGGTGCGACCGCGGAAGTGCACTCGACATTGATCGGGACTCCATGCGTACAATGATGGTATGGGACCATCGATTACTTGGCAAGGTCGTGCGTGCATTCATTCTCCTGTCCGATGCATATGATAGGAATTCGGTACCAGCTCTGCAGGTTTCCGACGTCTCAATTCCGATCATCAACTAACTTGTCATAGATGGATATCACTTACATGACGAAATCCTCTCCCACGTTGGCGGCGATGCAACGATGATTGAAAAAGGGGCGATTGTCGGACTCTTGAGCAATGATTAAATTACAGGGTGGATGTCGAATAGCATCCGGTGGTGACAGCCGTACCCGTTGCCGTCATGCGGGATCAATCGGTCATTCCGGGCAGGTTGTTCACGGCGATTGAATGTCCCGATCTGGCGCGTCAAACCTCCCAGCTCCAACCTACCTAAAGGGATGTTGTTTTGCGCAGTGCGCCCGACTGCGTGTAGCACGGCATGCTTAGGTGAGATCGCCAGATGACTGACTAGGACTGCCCAAACGACTTACCTGCCGAAGGTCCGCGGGTCCCGCTTAGCACCGGCGCGACCCTAGAAGCACCTGTAGTGGATACACGTAACTCGAGTCCGAGTTACTGATGGTGATAGGACGTCGGACCGGCGTACTAGAATGAGAGAACTAGAAACCGCGGCGGTGCACATTGCAAACCCATTGACTCCACCAGCGTGACGAAGGAACAAGTGCTAGTTCAATGTGGAGACTTTTTCGTAATATCTCTCGGAATACAAACCCCCCGAGGTACCCTTGTAAGCCTTTTTTCCCCCCTGAAGCACCGAGCTGGTTGATCCATTACGGCCGCCAATGTAACGCGATAGTTCAGAGGTCAAAAGTCATCTGTCCATCGGCTCTGTGAGGATAAATATCGTCGCGAAGTTCCCTGTATCATCTCGGCTTCGTCCAATTAGAAGAGGAAGAAGAGTACCTGCTGTGCAGAGAGGCGCCTAGTGTCGGGCGCTCGCCAATTGCCGCATGCAGGTTGACGGCGTCAAACAAGTCGCGACGCAACATTATCCTTGCGACATTGTGCCTACCTTACGACGGATAGCCGCATTAATGGTTCGATTCTCTATCACTCAGCTGCCAGTGAATTTCATGCGTGAGAGGCTGCGGCACATCATCAGCAGATAGCCCCATTATTCATGACCGAGCAAAATGTTATTCAGGAAAAAAGCTTTTTGCACTGCCGGACACCATGAATCAGGTGGTCTTGAAATCTATGAAATCGGAGTCCACACATAGGGCAGTCTACCGGTGGCATGTAAGCGCTACGTTTCACTGGCCCCAACGCGCTGTGTTTGTGACGAAGCAGCTAATATCCAGTGTTTTATATAATATCCAAGGTTTCAAGCTCAGGTCTCGGCATTGTATGTCACGTCATAAAACGGTGCGCCCTGTCTGTACTACCGACGTTTGATCATCAGTTCCGCCTACAGATGGTGGCGGCGACCATGCGCCAGTAACCATTGATCGTGAATGATTGCTCCCAATCGGATCGGCTCCAGGAGATCACAGCGCACAGCGCCCGCATGCAAACATGAGCCGTGTCATATAATTGATAAGGCATTACAAACAGTCCCCGAGCCTACCGTTCTCCACGTTCCCATTACGATCCTTTACTGCATTTCTGACCCATTGGTTTTCGTTCCTTGGCTACGGATTGTTTTCACGCCATGACGAACCCATACGCGCCCGACGAGACTTCCGCTGAAATCTGGTTTGAGCAGGCCAACAATGCCGCCGTATACATTGGCGCAATTGCGTATGGTAAGTACTATCGCTTCCCGTCCCAGCATCTGTATGATCATACGCATGGTTGAACGTCTACTTCGTGCTCGCAGGCGTGCACATCGTCATCTACTTCATGTGCGCATACTACCTGATCAAAGAGAGAAAGAAGAACTTCTGGCAGTGGCTCATTTTCGTTACTATCCTATTCGCTATGGCCACCGGCAACATCTGTGTCAACATCCATTTCAACGAGATGGCATGGATCGACGACCGCAACTATCCCGGCGGCCCGCTGGCATTCCTGCTGGAGGAGCAATCGAACGCGATCAACACCGTCGGAAATTCGTTGTCATTCGTGGCGACGTTCTTGGCCGATGGATTGTTGGTGCGCCGCCATGCACGATGGTGATCGTCACCGCGATGTTGACGTAACAATGTCCATAGCTGTACCGCGTCTACGTTGTCTGGCAGAAATGGTACATCGTGGTCATACCCTTCCTGATGTGGTTGGCAGCGACAGGTCGGCACACCCGTGATCCCATCTTCCGAGTAGCAACATTGAAACACCGTATTTTCAGTGCTCTCCGTATTTACCACCATCCAAGCGGTGCGACCCAACTCCAGCCTGTGGGCAAATAACACCCTCAATGTCTCTGTTCCCTACTGGTCTATTGCCATTGCACTCAATATCTCGCTAACGTTACTACTCATCTCGCGCCTGCTGTACATGCGCCACCTCATCCGCAAGCAGCTTCCAGGCGAGGGAAAGCTGTACGCAGGTGTGGCGACGATGATTCTCGAGTCCGCCCTTCCATATTCTATCGTTTCCGTCGTCTTCATCATCCTGTATGGGCTGCAGCTCACCGCGGAAGACCTGTTCATTCCGTTGCTTCTGCAAGTTGCGGTACGTACCTCAGGCTCCCCTGAAGGCTGAGACATGTGCTCACGGTGGGCTTCATCGCAGTGCATCGCACCCGAGTTGATCATCCTCAGAGTCACCCGTGGGCGCGCGCTGACGAGCGAGGCGATCACTAACGCATCCAGCATGAGGTTCCACAGCTCCGGGCCGTACGCGAGCACAGGTGTGACTTCAAGCTCCGCGCCTACGGGACAAGGAGCAGAGGAGCTGGGAATGATCACATTTAAGACAGGCTCGAGTCCGGTCCTGGAGGACAAGGACTCGCCGATAACGCTCATTCGTAGTGAGGAGGTTTGAATCTAATGTGTTGATTGTCTTCAGGACTTGCGATAGTTGCCCTGATCGCTATATATGATGTGTAATGTGCGTAATATTGGTTTGCGTTTCGCGTTGAGGCTGGATCATATCGTAGGGCTCCTGCATGACAACATCTTGGTATTATGCTCAACATGATTTTCGTCTGGGCATGAGATGTTTTGTTGCCCGGCCAATCAGCGTACACTTACTTCAATGAGACCTGCAGAGCAAAGATAATCTATCATACGACGTTCAGATGCACCACACGCACACGGAACACTTACGTCGAATCATTAGGGTCACGGACTGCGATCTAAGCCGATAATGTTCGCATTCATTCCAGCAGGATGCTGCGGAATTTATCACCCTGAGCTCAGTCTGAGCAGGCGATGTATTCTTGCGAGGGGAAGGGAGGATATTGTCACGCATGGGAGCTGTTCGCAGAGCCATCCAACCATCGACTTGTTGTGCTTCCAGGAGGAGATTTGAAACCTGTGTGCAAAGTTCAGCGTGCTGGATGAAAGATACGAGGATTCGATCGTGACGGCGTCCCATCGAATTCTGAAACTCGTGACGACACGCTGAAACCTGCCGCCCACGAAGAATTGGAAACCCTTGAGTGTCTCCGAAAGAACCAGTAAGCTTTCATCTGTCCTCCTGCGTGTTCCACTCGAGCCTCAGAGATGCTTCAGATACAGCATACTGACTAAGTGCAGGAGATATATGTCACACGAAGAGTGGAAGGACCTTCCGAAGTAAGTGGAGGCTGGAATTGAGCACCGAGGAGCCACCTGAGTCAGTGGCACGTAATATGTGAGCGCCTACATTATAGTATGGCGCCGTATCCGTATGCTAACAGACAGCGCTCAGCGCTCAGAGTTCAAATCTTGAGGCTGAGGAGACGAGAGTAATCAACGAACGACTGTTGTGATGGTTCCGAGTCTCGTTCGATGCGCCACCGTCTGCAGACAGTATAAAATTATCATTCCAACTGACAACTTTCCACCACAGACGCAGCACAATTTGAACGGTACATTGCGAGAGTACAAGATGATCATCATGTCCTTCACGGATCAACTGCTCACCAGAAGATGGTCATCATTGGCATCATCCATCGTCAGACAATGGAATCATCATGGCCGCATTCACTTGTCCGATCCTCGTGACTTCGTCTCTTTCGCTATTTTCTCCTTTTCCGCTTTCTTCTCGGATCTCAATAACGATACCGGGTTGATAGCCGATTCCATGGCATCCGCACCTTCGTAAAGTGCTCACGTGTGGGGATTGTGTGCGCGAATGGCAAATTGAACTGAGTCTTGAAATTTTCTGTAATCATAGGGTAAGTCTGACGATCATGCCCCGAACGTTCAGGCAGTATCGTTTCTCTTCGGCGTAGTCCTGAGGGTACCCTATTGAACTGCTATGCTCTCCCTCAGCAGGTTTCTCCGGCTTCCCAAATGGATTATCAATGCGGGACCCGCCAGAGTGATCGAATGTGCTGTCAGCGGCGAAGTTCATGAAAGTCTGATGTAGCTGGTGGGTTTATATTGCACGGGCTGGCCTGATTCGTCAGTGGTCTCGATCACAGGGCCTGCCAGTCCAGCAGCTAGCTTCAGTGCAGACGCTTTCACTCGCGCCTTCGTCTGAGCGACGATATAACCGAGTAAACGCTTGTCCAAAGGCTGAGTGATGTCTCCGCGGTACGTTACGACTAGCGAATTGAAAACCGACTGACTATGGGTGTGCTGTACGGCGACACCTCGGCACCACAGCTCATAAAGCTACTCGGGAGTGATGACGCTGGTTTCCGCGTCGGTTTGAGTCCAGTGCGTAAAGTTTATCCAGACGTTCCCTGCATCAGAAAGAAGATCATTGACCTCGTCACCCTTGTCCTGATGCTTGACGCCGAGGTCGTCGCCAAGCCAGGTTGTAAGGAAGTCTGACAGCTTCAATTTGTCAAAGGGCGGACATCGCGCCGAGCGGGTTCTGGGAAATCGACGAACGATCCTTTATTTGGAAGCGTCGCCTTGTCGCGCGGGAGGATGAATAAGAGCCTGGTGTATAATTCACCTTGTCGCCCCGGATCAGTCACGACCCCGTCAACAATGAGTTGTCGCATTAGCGTCTCCAATGCTTCGGCGTAGTTTTGCGGTTTTTTCATTCAAGATATCTGCAGCAGCGACGGCAAGCATAGGTTACGAAGGCGCGGCGGTGGTGGTGAATCCATCAAAAACACCGGTGAGGAGGCGCATATGACTGCGTATGGCGTGTACAGCGATCTCGCTCGATCGCTTCTTATCACTCAGTTCTAGCATGATCCGGTTTGCGAAGATGGCGAACACATGATCGAGGTTTTCGGATCGAATTCGTCGTCATATATGAGTTTCTTCCTTGCAGCACGCACAACGTCTGCAGAGTCGCCAAGGGTATACCGATACTGTATACCGGCCTGATGAGTGACAGTTCACGAAGATCGAAAGAAGCACTACTTACAGGCCGGCCGAACATTGCAAGGAAGCGGATCAGAAGAGCTTGCTCCGCGCTTTTGAGCTCGACATCTCGACGCATTTGGTCGAAGTCGACGTAGCACCACACAGGCAAGGGTTGAAGCGCACCCGCTAACCGATACGATGACGCATCGGAAGGAGCGAGTTCATACACGGAGGAGTTCGTGTCCAACAGCATATACCGAAATTCGACACCATGCGGGAAGCTGAATTCGTCTGCGGCCTTGATAATATGCTGAAGAGCGATGAGCGACATTTTTTGCTGAGGATCTTTCGGGCCTTTCGGACCGCGAAGTAGGGCGGGCTGGTTGAGTCCTGTACACTCATCGAGACTCAGAATGAATCTCTGTCACCTAAACGTTACACCGACTCCGCGAGCTTGTCGAAAGCCGGCTTTGCGAGCATCTTGAACAAAAGCACGTGCCGGCCGGTGACGCTGGTTCCGAATTCTTCAACTCCAGTGTTGTCGTAGGATAGTCTCTTGGCATACAATTCCTCTTTGAGATTAGTCAGCCGCTCTCTAGTAAGTTTTTTCACCTGTTCAAAGCAACGGTGGCGACTTGAACCCTCGAGATCTGTTGGATCCTTGATAGACCAGGAATTGACCCAGGCCTGCAGTGGAAGATCGACAAGCGCTGTGTCATGCAAAACCTCCACGAGCGCACCGAGAAAGGCAGCCGCCTTCTCCTCCGCTTGTGAGTCTGACTGAGCGATGCACATCAAGGGGTATCATACGGAGAACTCACCATGAAGGTGGACTGCTGCTCGTCGAGCCCATCAAAGAACTTTCAGTTGACATCACGAGGAGGCCATCCTGAGGTTGGGTGTTCGCCCTCTCGAAAACAAATCCAGATTGCAGGCATCTGTCATTCAAATCCTTCAATCAGTGAGCGTACGACAGGCCAAACAGCCGCACTCACTGGAAGCCGTAGCTCGCATGCCAAACAAGTCTTTCCTGTCCCGCTAGATTGAACGAAGAATATCATGCGACCGTAGTATATTGCTTTGTTGTAGATTCTCGCATAAATGTTCAAGGAGTCTTCAAACAACTCGACGATGTATCCGCGGAACTCTCCGCTCTATAGAATGACCACAACTATAACGTAAGCGTCGGCCGACAACGAGGGCTGGAGTTGACGTACATCATCTCAATGGCGGCAGGCGGCGGCTGTTTGCGTACTACGATGATGTCGATCATTATTCAGTACCAACAATGATGAACAGAAATACCGCAGGCGAACTGGAAAAATGCTGCAATATTATTCCCGGTCAATAACCCGTCCAGTTGTTTGTCTGGCAGGTGCTGGAGTCTCTGACAAGATCTATTCGCGCCACCATTCTTGTTGAATAGAGCTGCCCATGATTCACGGGGAATGCTATCGCGCGGGAGGGTCGAGTGTTCAATATTCAATGCGAGAGAACGTAGGCACGATAATTCAACGTTTCAGTGAGGAAATGTTGACCCAGGCTCAGCACTTGAAAGGTCATCGACGCTCAGGGGCGCTTACCCCATATATATGGGAACGAGAGCGTCATATTCTCACGGGGGAAGCAGGCCCTTCAAAGCTTCACCCCTTTGCCGAAGTCTTGCGCCATCCCTTTCCTCGCGTCGACTGAGTACCCTTCCTTGACCCAGGCGATCCCTCAGAGGACGTCGCCACCCCAATTTCTTTTCTGCTCGCCTGTAAAAACTAGTGACAATGGTGTAAGTTTGACCTTCTACGGCCTCCCTGCGATGTCCTTAATGTTCACATCATTTTCTACGCAATGACAGTAACCTCACTGTCGGTGAGTGATGAAAGCCATTTCGGTTGAACGGGCAATTCCGAAGTTGAACAGATCAGATTCGGGCTCTCATGGACAAGCCCACCAATATCCGTAACATGAGCGTTATTGCTCATGGTAAGTCTCGTTACTGGCTTCCTTGCTCCAGTCTTGTTGTTTATCAAGAGGCTTCGCACAGTCGACCATGAAAAGTCCACTCTCACGGACTCGTTGGTCTCCAAAGCTGGTATCATTGCCAGTGCTAAAGCCGGCGAAACGCTTTGGACGGATACACGACCGGACGAAAAGGAGCGTGGCATTACTATAAAGTCGACCGCCATCTCCATGTATTTCGAGGTCGACAAGGAGGATTTGAGCGCGATCAAGCAGCAGACCGAGGGTATGTGCTGCGTGCTGTGCGTCGGTGGCCTCGTGTTCCTGACAATATCTCCAGGCAGCGAGTTCTTGATCAATTTGATCGATTCTCCAAGCCCTGACTGAGCGTATCAAGCCCGTCGTCATCATCAACAAGGTTGACAGTGCTCTGATCGAGCTGCAGGTTGACAAGGAGTCGCTGTATCAGTCATTCCGTCGTACGATTGAGAGCGTGAACGTCATCATTTCGACATACCACGACGTTGCGCTGGGTGACGTCCAGGTCTACCCCGAGAAGGGCACCATCGCCTTCGGTTCCGGTCTGCACGGATGGGGTTTCACCCTCCGCCAGTTCGCGAGCAGGTACGCGAAGAAGTTCGGAGTTGACAAGGAGAGGATGATGGCCAAGCTTTGGGGCGACAACTACTTCAACCCCGCGACGCGCAAGTGGACGGCCAAGGGCACTGACGAAGACGGCAAACTTCTCGAGCGCGCATTCAACATGTTCGTCCTCGACCCCATCTTCAAAGTCTTCGATGCCGTCATGAAGTCTAAGAACGACACGATCGATTCCATGCTCGAGAAGCTCGACATCAAGCTTGTTCCGGCTGAGCGTGAGCTCGGGGGCAAGGCTCTCTTGAAAGTAATCATGCGCAAATTCTTGCCCGCCGGTGACTCTCTCCTGGAGATGATTGTTATCAACCTTCCCTCCCCTAAGACTGCTCAGCGCTATCGTGTTGAGACTCTCTACGAGGGTCTAATGGATGACGAGTCTGCTATCGGTATTCGTGATTGCGATCCTAAGGGATCCCTCGTGCTCTACGTCTCCAAGATGGTGCCGACCTCCGATAAGGGACGTTTCTACGCCTTCGGTCGTGTCTTCTTCGGTATCGTTCGTGCTGGCCCGAAGATCCGTATCCAGGGCCCGAATTATGTCCCGGGCAAGAAGGAAGACCTGTTCATCAAGTCTGTGCCGCGCACGATTTTGATGATGGGCCGTTATGTCGAGCCCATCGAGGACTGCCCGGCGGGTAACATCGTTGGTCTTGTCGGTATCGACCAGTTCCTGCTCAAGAGCGGTACCCTCACGTCGTCGGAGACTGCGCACAACATGAGGGTCATGAAGTTCTCCGTGTCGCCTGTCGTGCAGGTCGCCGTCGAGGTCAAGAATGCTGCAGATCTGCCCAAGCTGGTCGAGGATCTTAAGCGTCTCTCGAAGTCCGACCCATGTGTCCAGACGTGGATCTCCGAGAACGGTGAGCACATTGTCGCTGGTGTTGGTGAGCTCCACTTGGAGGTTTGCTTGAAGGTATGCATTATGTTCCAAGGCCATGAGGTCTGTTATTGACGTTAATCATGCCATGCTAGGATCTCGAAGAGGACCATGCCGGTGTTCCTCTCAAGGTCTCCGACCCGTCGTCCCTTATCGTGAGACTGTCAAGGCCGAGTCGTCGATTGTTGCGCTCTCTAAATCCCAGAACAAGCACAATCGTCTCTACGCCAAGGCGATGCCGATCGAGGAGGAGCTCTCGCTCGCCATCGAGTCCGGCAAGGTCAACTCGCGTGATGATTACAAGATTCGCGCGCGTATCCTCGCGGACGAGTACGGTTGGGACGTCACGGACGCGCGTAAGATCTGGTGCTTCGGTCCTGACACGACTGGTCCGAACGTCCTTGTCGATGTGACGAAGGGTGTGCAGTATCTCAACGAAATCAAGGATTCTTGCGTTGCTGCCTTCCAGTGGGCAACGAAGGAGGGTGCCTGCGCTGAGGAGAACATGCGTGGTGTCCGCATCAACATCCTTGATGTGACGGTATGTATCAGACGGTTCTGTATCTGAAGTTCATTCTGACGTTCGTTGGGAACAGCTCCATACGGATGCCATCCGCCGTGGTGGAGGACAGATCATTCCGACGTGTCGTCGCGTCTGCTATGCCGCATGCTTGCTTGCCACGCCCGGTCTCCAGGAGCCCGTCTATCTGGGGGTGTTTTTCTCCTAGCTCGATCTATCCATGCACAGCTGACCTTTCTATCAGTTGAGATTCAGTGCCCGGAGAATGCGATTGGCGGTATCTACAGTGTGCTCAATAAGCGTCGTGGCCAGGTGTTCTCCGAGGAGCAGCATGTCAGCACGCCTATGTTCACGATCAAGGCATTCTTACCCGTCGGGGAGTCCTTCGGTTTCAATGGGGAGCTTCGCTCGCAGACTGGTGGTCAGGCGTTCCCCCAGAGCGTGTTCGACCACTGGGAGACGCTGAACGGATGTGAGTCTATCTGCAATCATGTCCAAATCATATTGTGGTGACTGAAGTCTCTTCACAGCTCCCCTAGACAAGGGCAGCAAGATCGAGGAAATCGTCAGGCGTATCCGTGTCCGCAAGGGTTTCAAGGTTCGTTTGCGCCCACTTCATGTTAATATATTTTGCTCATGCCTATTCTATGCAGCCCGAAATTCCGCCCTTGGATACGTACTACGACAAGCTATAAGAAGGTGTTCGCCAGCAGAAGTTTACTGTTGTGTCATTCAGATCAAGCACTCATGAAGGTACTATGGTCTAGCACTGACAGATGAGAGACCCTCGTAATGCTGAGCTCTGTGAATTATAATTAAATTTATGGCTTGGACGTTCACCTCACATGCGTACTACATAGCTGTGAAACGTAATGTCTTCGCAGGTTATTATAAATAATTTATATGGACTGGTGCAGTACCAAGGCTGGCAATGCGGTCACCTGTGAGCCATCCACCGCAGATATAGCTCGGACTACTCCTAGCAACCCTCGTCGGATCACTCGACTACTTGCCCAGGCAAATCCAACCGGCGTCGCAAGACCATGTATTATCTAGCTATTCCGGCCTATATAGCTAGGTGCCCATGTTACCTACTTCACCTGCCTAGATATGCATTCTGCTTTTTGCTGATGACTATGAATCTCAACGTACTGTAGAAAATCGCTGCTGGCCGCTGTCCGAGGGCGTCGACGAGTGACCGAGTCGCCCGCGCGTCGTAGTTACTCTGAGGCAAAACGCTGGAGACCCGTCTACCAGCGCTCCCCGCTATATAGTACCCGCGTACATATATACAAACATACCGGTGGCGGCGCTGCTCATTGCCACATACGCGCCCCTCCGGCCCCAGATTGCGACACGTACTAACTCTAATGTTGACCTTCGTCCTAACTTTCGCGATGCGGGTCTGCAGAAAGCGCGCGCTGAGTAGTCCCCGGAGATGCGACAATTCCTTCGAACCTCCGCGGGCTCCGGATATCCGTGTCTGACGCGCCGAGCAGCCCCTCGAAAGCGCTTTCGAGTCAAGATGAATTGTGGAAACTCTATCGTCTTCAAGACGGCTCCGGTGGAATCGGTGGAACCATGACCGTGACTCATGATGCATGAGCCGCGAGCGCATCCGACTTAGGACACTGTAATCTGCTTGCCGTCACCAAAAAAAGACAATAAACTCTAGAAAGCCTCAGGACTGCTGTTTTGAAACTTGTCGATTCGAGTTTTCCCGATGCAATGCCTCGGAGGCGCGCGCACACCAGTCTTAAGCACCTCTCCCACAAGTTTCATCGCACACACACTTTTGAACGCGACATGGTCTTTGCATTCCGCTACCAGCCTTTCAAGGCCATCTACACGCTGAGCACCGTAGCTGGTTTGCTCTTGCGACTGCCCTATTGGACGCTCATCAATCTCCTTCCGTCCTGGCGGCCTAGGACCACCTGGACCTTGGGCAGAGCCATATTCGTCAATGTTTTCCAGGTGTACATTGCTTACGTATACGAGACGGGTATCCCAACTCCTGCATACCCAAAGGAGGATGCGCCAGACGCCGCCACCACCGGTCTCGTCTTCATCGATCCCGTACCCACTGAGCTGATCGTGGGCGAAGTGAAAGAGTTCGCACGCGTCAACAACGTTCAGCCCGTCAGGACGGCTGGTTTCTGGATCGGACCGCGCGGGCCCAGTGGTGAAGTCGGCCAGAAGGCGTCTCCGGGAGAGAAAGTCATCTATCACTTGCATGGTGAGTCGGACCGCTCTGTACGTGCCTTCGCGCTTGAACTCATGCTAGCTATGCAGGTGGAGGGTATGTTGTAAGTACCAACCTGCATTTCGGACATCCTGACGGAGATGATGATGTACATCACTAGATGGGGACGGCGAACCCGAGCAGTGTCAGCATGAAGTACATGTATGAAGGCCTGCAGGAGCACCTGCCCAACACCCGCATCTTCGCCCTTGAATACCGTCTTTCGAGCGCCGAGCCGTTCGGAAGAGCCAACCCTTTCCCAACCGCGCTCATCGACGCTATTTCCGGCTACCGCTACCTGCTCAAGGTGGTCGGCTTCTCCGCGAACGACATTGTCATCGGAGGCGACTCGGCGGGCGGCAACCTTGCATTCGTCCTCGCATACTATATCAGCAAATATCAGCTACCGAGCCTGCCAGCTCCGCGGGGCATGATCCTACTGTCCCCGTCGGCGGACGCGGCGTTGACGCATGTCGGACGTGATTCCTCGATGTACAAGCACTCACGATCCGACTTCGTGGGCCCTATCTTCCAAAGTGGTTACAGCAAGCGAGCGTTGCTTGGGTATCTGCCCGACGATGTGGCGTTGACGGTATGGTTTTCCCCCGGAACGCTACACCTCGCAATGACGAAGGACATGTTCGCGAACCTGCCTAAGACGCTGATGATTACCGGTGGTGCGGAGATGACCCTTGACCCTATGCGCACGCTGAGGGACAGGATGGTGGTGGATATGGGCCATGACGCGGTGACATACGTCGAGGCCCCCGATTCGACTCACGACTTCCTTGTACTTCCCCTCCACGAGCCAGAGAGAACTGACGCTCTCCGAATCCTTGCGGGCTGGGTGAACAGCCTGTGAAGAACTCCCACACGAACGCTGCGATACCATTCTTACGACCCCGAAAGCGCCGTCTGATATGCGCGGTTTCTGTTGCGACGTCATACTGTCGTTGTCATCTCGCGATCAGGTGCGGACAGGTGATCCCATCCGGAAGTGTGATGTTTCCTTCGACATTGGTCAGCTAGTAGTACATTTGTGGGCCTGCCTTCAAAATGCTGATTCATATGTCCTGCTATCAAGAGTGCATCTTGTGCTTGGTGATTCGGCCGCTTCACGCTTCCAGAGCTCCTCACTATTGCGTGAGTAGTACTTCATGGCGTACGACGACGAAAGGCACAGAACAGTAGAACCGCGGGCTGCATTTCCGCCCACTGTCCTACTCGATTTACCATCTGCCTGCACGCAAAACGGCCGTGATGATAGCTTGGATGGGACCTAGACCAGCGACGATCTCGTTTCAGGTCGCATGGCCTCGATGCTCTGATGCTCGCCTTTGAGGAGGAGTGGAAGATCATCGGAGAACATTGCCGTGATATGGTCACTTCTATCATGAAAGGTGCCTGACAGCAGTGGGCGCATGAGAAAGATCAACGATACGACGAGATGGCTGTCAATCTGCACATCCGACGTCGCAGAGACCCACGTCACTACAGGCCCATGTATGTCTCCTCCGTTTTCTACTGTGGTCAGTTGCTATTTTTCCTCGCGGCGAGAAAAACGGGCCTGAGTTTGCGAACCAACTTGAAGATCATTTTACTTGACGGTGATACATCTCGGCTCGGCGTTCCATAAATACATCCCCACGGTGCACGAGTCTGCTGACCACGTCACCTCGAGATGTGCTTCCTTCGCCCTTTTTTATATGTGAGAAGACGGAATGATTTGTGACGGAATTCTTCCCCGAACGCTGATGTTTCTGATCATGATCGCCTAGCACATATGATGCATTCCCAGAAGAACTGGATCCTGTCGAGTGACAATCAACCATGCCGTAGGCACATTGCGACCCATATAGTTGCGCTGCGCGGAGGCCGCTAGCGTGCTGTCCACAAGTCGATTTGCATGGTGAGTCCACCATGAATTATTTTACATTCCGTCACCAGCCACTCAAGACGCCGTATCTCGTTTACTCGGGCATCTCACTCGTCTTCGTTCGCATACCCTACTGGTCACTCAGATATCTCCTGCCATCCTCGGGGCCGCGAAGGACATGGCCGCTCACACATGTGCTCATGGTCAACACCCTCCGAACAGCAATCGGCATCGTCTTCAAGACATCAATCGACTTTTTCTGTGTCAACCCAGAATCGTACGCCAAGTCGGGCGAGGACGTTGGTCTCGTGTGGCTCGACCCTATCTCGGAATTCCTGATTGTCGGTGAGATCAAGCAGGCCGCGGCTGTGAACGCCGTCGTTCCAGTCAGACTGGCCGGCTACTGGTATGGCCAGAGAGGCACGGATGGGATGGTCGGTCAGTCGGCGGGGCCGGATGAAAAGGTCATTTATGAGCTGCACGGTGGAGGGTGGGTCGTAAGTCTCTTCCATTTTGTATGGTATTCCGAGTAGGCCTGATCACTCTCACAGATGGGTTTCGCAAGTGCCTAGTGGGACAGCGCTTGTATGTGCGAGGAGATGCTGAGGTACACGAAAGATCAGGGTTGCACCCGCGCATTCCAGATCGAGTACCGACTGTCACAAGGCTCACTGTTCCCTCCGAAGGGGGCGTTCCCGGCTGCGCTAATTGATGCGATAGCGGGATACAATTATCTCGTGAACGACCTCGGCTTCAAGCCGTCCAACATCCTCATCACCGGAGAGTCAGCTGGCGGCAATCTCGCCTTCGCGCTCGTGCGTTACCTCGTGAACGCATCCATCCGGTCACCTCCCCCTCCTCGAGCCCAGTTCCTCCTGTCACCTACTGCCGACTGGGGTCGGACCCATATAGGGCCCGACTCGACAATGCAGTGCAACTCAGATTCAGACATTGTCACCTGGTTCCTCGGTGGCTATGGTACCCGAGCGTTGCTCGGCAATCTTCCCGAGTCAGACGCTTGCGACAACTCATGGATCTCGCCAGGCTCCGCAAAGCTGCCTCACGTCGAGGGATGTTTTTCGGGAATGCCACCGACGCTCATTATGGGAGGTGATGCCGAGATGACGTTAGACTCTATGAAGGCTCTGCGGGACCGTCTCGTGGCGGATAATGGAGAGAAAAAAGTGACGTATGTCGAAGTGGCAGACACGACGCATATCGTGATGTGCATGAAGTGGCATGAGCCTCAGAAGACGGTAGCTTATGAAGAGTTTGCCACCTGGGTGAAGTCTATCCACCAGTAAATATAGTCATTGTTTCTGCCACGCGCTGCATTCGCCATTATCGTCTCTGTTGTAGTGTGGTTATCTTACTATCTGATTGTAGTCCCAGCATTGGCACTTTCACATCCATCCCTAAAAGCAACTCCGACCGTCGTGAAAGCAACGCCCTTCGTAATAAGACATGTCTCACTTCCTGAGTTATGCATTCCAGACTGGCTTGTATGAGAAAATAGTCCATTTTGACTGGGGCGCTCGCATTCCGACAACTAAGCAACATTCCGTAAGAATTTCCCGTGGTCTTGAAACGAAGCATCAACTGCTTCGCTCCGACCTCAAGGCCGGCTCATGAAATTGACGAATAGGATCCAACCTTGTGCTGCATCGCCGTGGATACGCCATGATGTAGACGACCGAAAGATAGTATTGTGCACTGCCAGCCTAGTGAAACTTGATTGATCAGCGTGGATGTATTGTTACGGACCCGTCGCTGCTCATACCATCTAGTAACACAAACTTACACTTCTAGATCGATTTTCAAGCATAGGGCGATGGAGTCAGCGCCATATGCATCACATGTAATAAAAATCGACTGTACAAGGTCCAAGAACGTCAAAGATAGTGATGGTGGAGACATGGGGTCAGAGAGGTAATGGTGCATAGTGGGCTGGCATTTGTATTAGACTTCCTCAGTGCACTGGAATTGAGATTCGTTGCGAGATCAACTAGAAGAAGTTAGTGACGACTGATACATAGTGATGTGCCGGGCCCAGCTCAGCTCAAAAGCCCCGACTTAGGCCCAGCTTCAGCAGGCTCAGGCCTATCATGAATGAAAGCTGGGCCTGAGAGAGACAGCTCAGGCTCAGCTCGGCTCAGGCCCGGCTCAAAGCCCCGGCTTTTCTCAAAAAAAGCGATTTTTATTCGTAATTAATTCATAATGTAGATACAAAGACATCATCGTCCTTGTCCCCAAATTCTGTATCTCCTTCATCATCTGAGAGACCGTTATAGATGAGCCCATTCCGTCCCTGGTCCGAGTTTTCTAAAATCTCAGCAATCTCAGTATCTTCAAACCCTAATGCGACAGGCTCCTGGTGAAAAATCAAGGCATGTCGAAGCATGCATTTCAAGCATTGCAACACTTCAATGATATCAGCCTTCAAATGGTTGCGACATTTGCTAATGATAATGCCGGCTGAGGAGAATGTGCGCTTGCTTGATACAGATGATGCCATAATGGCAAGGAAGTCTCGAGCGAGTGAGCTCCAGACAGGATATCTACATATCTGCGTTAGACTGAGCTCAGTCAGTACTGTCGCAAAGAATCCAATGACAAAAACTCGTACCCCCCACCACTCGATGATGGTATGATTTCCAAGTATGTCAGCTGAATTAAGATAGCCATGGAAATCAGCAAGCCATGACATGGCTGGATCACTGACAGTCTCATGTCCACCTATATCATCTTCGTCTTCATCATCGGATAACTCATGAATAAGCTGTCTGACCTTGCTATGGGCATTGTACCAAATTGCAGCATAGATGGACAAGGCAGGCCACTCAGATACAGCTGAAAATATCGTGCCTTATACTAGCACAACATTACTGATTTTCATCTAGAGAGGACAAGAAGTGGTAGCTACAATGCCTTCTGCATGATCGAGACTCTCCTTCAGCAGCTCCTCTCCCCAATGCTTATGAATGTGTTTCATTTTTTGCGATATATCAAGCACTGCAAGTGAGAGATTGATAATCAGTGAGATAACAATGAAACGAATGGATAATATACTGACACATTGCGAAAATGTATGCGTCTGACTCTGCTGATCTTTCATAGTAGTCACTGATCTTCACTGTCACCACGTGGAGTGCTTCGCTGAACACTGCATACTTATCATGTTTGGTGCGTGATGTCCAAGCCTTGTGAAGGGCTTTGAGTGCAGGAAGAGCGAGATGGAGGGAAGGACCTCGATTTGATCAGAATGCTTGCCGCACATTATTTGAATGCTGCATTGTCATTCAGTATACGCAAATGGTTGTGGAGACAATGACACACTGTAAGCAAATCTAAGAATAGCTTTACTCAGTCTCACTCATCTACCATGAGCTGCAGTTCGTCGAGCTTCTGTCACTTTATAAGATCTTTCTCCTCTCTCACCATCTCATACACAAATGTGTCAACAAACTTGCAGAAAGCAGATAGTGGGCAAGGAGCATAAAATTGTATAATAAGTAAGGACTAACCTCTCGTAGCTCTTCTGAACATTCAAGCATCACGTAAGTTGATGACCAGTGAACTGGCATGTCGAGAGCAGCTGCTGTGGTATTTTGACCTTCTTATGAAACTGAATGTCCTTGAAAAGCTGTTTGCGCTTTGCAGATGAACACTCCTATGATGTGAAATTAGGAATACATGATAAAGTGAAATAAAACCACATACTTTGACTGAGACTGCTCGCACTAGACCAACTTCATCATGACGTGAACCATCGACGTTCGTTGAAACCATGTCCGGCTTCTCAGGGTCATAATGCGAAGACTTGCTGTATGTCAAGATGAGTGCTTGTGTTGCGAGATTTATGATATGTGCCAGACAGCTAGGGAGATCATGAATGAGGTACGATATTCATATTATCTCCATAATGACTCACTGAATACGATGATTCTTAAGGTTGAATGGCTTCCCTGTTGCTGCTTGCAAATGTCATGCAAAACATGACATTATCATGTCATTATTTATGGCATTATCACATGTAATATAGCCAATCTGCGATGACAGTTTTATCAGCCACACATATCGCATAAACAGAATGCATACTTTATGTTCAATATGCATGCATTCGACGACTTTGAAGAGCGCATGTTTCAATCGTGCTCCATTGTAAGCATTGTTCAGCTGAATGAAGCCCAGTAGCATGCTTTCGAGCGTCCACTTCCTGGGCAGTACTTCCTCTATCCAGTGTGTGGTAACAGCGAAGTATCCATCTGTTGTGGAGGCCTGGTATGCATCACAGGTGAGACTGATCAGACCCTTTACAGCTTCACTCTGTTTATGTAAATGACTCGAGTGGGCCACAGATAATTAATTAAATTAAGCAAAAACATACCGTCAATCGTTCCCACAGCTTCATCATCTGCCGCTTGAACATGTCGATTACTTGATGGCATAACTGCTTGCAGTTCGAGATTTCGACACCATTGGTTGCGTGAGCTGCAACGTCGATCATCTTCTTGAATGATGCATGTTCAAGGGCTTGTATTGGCTAATAGAGTAGTTATGAGTGACTGCCACAACAGAAAGACTGTAATCAAATCATACCTGATCTGTTGCTATGATCCACTCGATGGATGCTTCACGGAAGAGCGCATCAGAGTACGGCATGATGTACTCTTTGTGTGGCCGCTCTGTCAAATGTGAGTCAAGGCATGTTTGCTCAAAAACCTTGGCTTCGTTACGGCTGCATTTTGTGTTCTTCGGCAGCATCGATATGAAGTCATTGTTATCGCATCATGCATGGTATTCTCCCTTCATATGAATCTTGAGATCACACCTATTGTAGAAAAATGTGATGCATACCTCGTGAGCTGATTGAAGATGCCTGTGCAATGTTGTATGCTCATTCACAAGTGATGTATCACCGCATTTTTTTCTGAAAGATGATGCAGTTAGATCAAATCACTGTACAATAATGGTTACTTACTTGCAAACGTTGCAGTTACGGTGGCTCTTTGCTGAATTGTTGATCTTCTTGTCATAGGGGCTGGAGAAAAAGTGTACAACATCGCAGCTCCTTCCCTCCTGTGGAGGCTTCGATGGCTCATCAATGTTTAAAACAATGATGTCATCATCTGCACCCTTAGGGTGAATGCACACTGGCTCTACCTGCCACTGTATGCTCACTGACTCTGAGTAAGTGTTAGTAGCCAGAAACTTACAGATTACAGCAGAGAAAATTAATCAACATCCCCCTCGGACTCCTGACTCACATCGTCGTCTAAAGCTCATGAAGACCGTGATCTCTTGATGAGTCGACTGTCTTCATCAACATTGATTACAGATGTTCTGCTTAGATCCGCATCACTTGCACTACGCTTTGCAAAGGTTGTTTTGACGAGATCTGCGTCACTTGCACTGCACTTTGCAAAGGTTGTGGTCTTCCAAGAATCATAAGGTGCAGGATGAGAACATGTGAGGGATGTAGCATGAGGAGCAGGGTGAGAAGATGTCAGGTGAGAAAATGCAGGGGATGCTGCATAAGGTGCAGGGTGAGAAGCAGTGCCCAAGGCCTTTCATCGATGGGAAGAGATCTCAGGCTCAGCAACATTTTCAGCATTCCTGAGCTTCAGTCCTGGTCATCTGAGCTGCTTGTTAGCCGGTGGTGGGTCTTCCGCACTCATTATGATAGCAATCTGCAATGATTGCAACACATCATTGGCTCACCCTCCAGTTCATCCTGTACAGCACCAAATGATGTGCTACTATAAAGCCATGGCTTTGCGGCTCAGCCTCAGCTTTCCTAAAGTGCAAGCCAGGCTGTGAGCCCTGTGAGGCCAACCCTCAGGGCCTGGCCTAGCTCAGATTTTTTAGGCTCAGCTCAGCGTGGCTTACAGCTTGAGGCCGGGCCTGACACATCACTACTGATACATAAATAATCTCAAACAGACAAACTTAGAGCATCTGTCCTGATGAAATTGATGTCTGATAAAAGAAGTACACCAGACCAGGTCTATGATAAGAACAAAGGTGCAGTGTCGACTTGGAGCATTTTGAAATGCTGATCATGTTAGCAAATGGATTGTCGATGAGCACCCAGTTAAATAATTTGTGATCAGAACATACTGATGGAACGTTCATGCAACATGATTAGCAGAGGAGGTTTGTAGCAAGAGACACCATGGTGTGTGATACTCTCAATCCTTTTTTAATGACGCCGGACATCTGCATTGCGAGCTGTGTAAGTACAAATGAAACTGCACAGTTAACTCATGAAATGCACCCTACGTTAAGTGGTTGGCGTCACCAGCCTGAATGGAGAACCTATACACAAGATGCAATTGATTGTATTACTTGTTACAAAATTCTATCAGGTTTCATGCATTAAACTCTGGACATTTGGATATGTCTCACTGATGACCTCATTATCATCTTCTGGTGACACATAGAGGTAGCTTAATTGTCGTGCTTGATCAATATGACACACACCTTTGCGTGCTTTTATTGATATACTGTATGACAGATACCCATCATCTGTATTAGAATATTAGGGAGGAGACAAAACGTAAAACAATGTGATGTTTGTTTTTAATAATGAGTGGAGTGTTCCCTCATCATCGCAATCACCAATCATGAATAGAAGCTACACGTACTTCTAAGCATGACCTTGCATATGCTTGCATGAGTTCTTTGACCCACCTAGCATAAAAGTCCATTTGAAGAGATCGTTGTAGGGTGTGGCTGCTGTGCTAGATCCAAACTACTATAGTTGGTGAAGCTCAGAATTGCATTCAAACCCTACCTCAGCTGCTCATAAGAAGTAATATGTAGATGGTTCAGAGTGCCTTATTGCAATTGTAGTAGTAACTGTTCGTAAGTTTCCATCAGAGCAGAGCTGGAGTGGTCGCTGGTGCCCTGAATATTGAGGCTGTGCAAAACTACTAGCCCGATTTCACCTAAAACGTATAGCATAATGCGTCTTATAGACAGAATAGAGCATTGAAACAGTTTCATCTTGAGCCACAGAGTCAGTGGTAACTGTTGATTCCAACGTCAGTACTGTAGTATCGCTGTCGGTGCTTGTTACATAATATTAACAGTCTAGCACCAGTGGTAGTGATAGACACCAGCATGCTCTTTTCTTGCGATACCTATCAGAAGTCTTGTCACAGTATTAAATGGCACCTTTCTTTTTGCACCATTAAAAGTCCTTATTTGAGTGGTTATTCGGACGCCAACCTTCATATTGGTCTCATAAAGTGGATACTTGAACAAATAGCACAATACTGCCACATACATTGCGAATACGACTGTGTCTACCACATAACCACCAAGCGTCCATGATTCAGCCACCCAGTCATGTGACACTGATTACTTGCCCTATTCAGAAGTTGTCAGGCATTGGTCACATGACACCAGGCCACTTGCCAAGAAAGGAACCCATTGGACCATCAACCTAGCAAGCACCCAATTCGTCACTCAAAATAATGGCACCACTTTGCTGCCTAGCCAATAGGCAGGCACCACAAAGGATCTCCCTACCAACTGGCATACAGTATAGCCAGATACAGGATAGGCTGGATCTTCTCACAACCTTATCCAGATGAAGACTGATTGTCCCACTCATTGTTCTGAGTTTGGACAGATCCTCTCATCTGATGTTGCAACCATTGTGATGTGCCCTGTTGGCCATCACCCATTGGCCCCTCAACAGTGGGCCCACTTACAGGCAATTGTCTCATTGGATTAGATAGGATTACCTTAGCATATCCACGGCCCTTTGTAGATAGTTGTCATAACGAATACAAAATCATTACTGATTTTGGCTATATGTTCGCATGTAGGTATCTGAGATCTCATAGTAGCACAGTGCCAGGGGCCCTGCTCTACATATATATAAGTACCTATGAGGAAGCTGGGTATCCCCAGTTTCATTCACCTATTTCATTTGTGTGATATAAGGCGAAGGGCCCTTTAAGCCCCTTTTTGCAGGCTGCATGTCACTGCATGCCTTTTTGGCCTGACCCTTTCTGGCAGGCCCTTATTTTGGTATTTGTGCAGGTCAGTGAGTGCGGCTAGCACCTTGCAGCCATTTCCTTGCCTTTTGGCAGAATCTATGATGCACCATGACAAGTCTTCAGAAATTTTCTGAATTGGTTCGGCGTATCTCGAGGACAATTTAGCGATGGACTAAGATAAAATCTGGTCATACAGAAGAGAAGCAATTGCACAATTGGGAGATGTTTTCCATCTGCATTCAGACTACGTGATGGAACTCGAAGAACTGTCATGATGAGGCAGTCTGGCTAAGAGATAGCACTGCAGAGGCCCTTGATTTTGGTTTGATTAGCCATGCATTGTACAGGCCTCTTGATGCTGTAGAAAGATGACAGCTCTGATGCAGATTATATGTGTTGCACGGTGTCCATCTCTCTGATTTTTATAATGGGAGAGAACTCACAGCTGAATCCTGTAGCTACAATAGTGGTATGATAAGCACACATGATGCATCAGCGTCTTTTCATGGTATGTGATGGCTGACACAGTTCCCGACAGGTCCTTCCATGTGGACACTTGTGACACTTTTCATGAGAACGTTCAAACACTCTGCTGCATGCACTCATGAACAGAGTCTGTTGCCAGTCAGAGCTGTCAGTGAGTGGGCTCCAAGTCGATGTTGTAAGATTGTAGGTATCATATGTGACTTGTGCTTTATGCAGTTTCAAAGTGATCAGACACCGCTGATAAGCAGGTTGGAATAGGAACAGCTCTATCATTACCTTCACAGTGTACAACACTAAATCATGTACATCACTGTATCGAGTTCAGTGTGTTCGGCACTTGTTGACTTCGGGCCATTAACTTCAGGCCAAGACTGCTGCAGAGCTCAACTGTCAATGCCCACATCCATTTTTGTGTCATCAAACCTGAGGCCTGAACGTTGAATGCCCATCAATGCCTTTGATAGATGTAGCTGTATGATGTACGACTAAGACAGAGCCTGTGTAAAGGTTACTGATGGAGAAGACTTCTCGTGAGTGCTGAGTGAATCTTTTAGTGACTTTGAGCCAATAGCCCATCTAAGAACTGATATGATGCTGTTCGTTTGGGAGAAGTTCTTCAGTCATGCCCATATATCATGCAAATGTCATCATGGGTACTTCTGTAAGCTACAGCCCTTCCACGGCTCTCTGACATTCTGCCTTCAAAATGGCAGCAGCAAATGACGCATCGAGCAATGCTTTCAGGCTAATGTTTGTATCTTCTTGCTACCTGTACTAAATTATGGCTGACTTGGAACATATGACAGTACAGGACCTCCAGTACTAACCAAGCCTTTTATCATTTCTAAATCTGATTCTGAACGATTATTGTCTTAAGTTCATCGCCTACTCCATTATGGTGTTTGCATGGCATGCTGTCAATCTAAGTCTGTAAGTCATGTCTGGCACTTGTCATCCTTTGCGCTCATCGTATTCACTAGACATGTACTATATTTACTTCCCTCATGACAAATTGATATACAAACTGCTTGATATGTCACTGGACCATAAGTCCGCTATGTGATTAACTGTTCAGCTTTTGTGAACTCCACAGTGTATGAAATGTGAATCTTTGAGTGGGTACAGGTTAGTTTGCTCACCAGCATGATTTTCGATGCTTTTGTGAACAACTTTGAAAATGTCTCAGTATTTGATGGGGTGTATACTTGCTGGTTCAGCATGTTCATTATATGTGATATTGTATCAGCGACCATGCAAGTCTATTTTGCCTGATGCATTGCAAAGCTTGTCAACTCACGCACTTTGGGAGGCATTATTGTTTTCGTGAGTGATTTTAGAGACACTGCTGATCTTTGTTGCCATAGTTGACCAGTTCATAATATGTCAGTTGGTGCTGATCCAGGCTGGTGGCACATTTGCATGCAGAATTAAGGAGAAGATATGAACAACCACAGCTGTTGCACTCAACTGACATAGGTCTCAGATGAGTGCAGGAACACTTATGAATCTGACAGCATTGACCTCAGAGCTCATTGTAAGTCACTACATGATGAGAGTGATAAATAACTCTAATGAAGTTTATAAAGCGTGCAGATGTCACAGTATTAGGTGGCATCTTTCTTTTTGCACCATTAAAGTCCTCATTTGGCAACCACAAGTGGTTATTCAGACGTCAACCTTCATATTGGTCTCACAAAGTAGATACTTGGACAAATAGCACAATACTGCCACATACATTGCAGATATGACTGTGTCTACCACATAACCACCAAGCGTCCATGATTCAGCCACCCAGTCACATGACACTGGCCACTTGCCCTATTCAGAAATTGTCAGGTGTTGGTCACATGACACCAGGCCACTTGCCCAGAATGGAAACCTTTGATCCACAATAGGCTCACCCAAGCTCATTGAATCATCAAGCTAGCAAGCACCCAATTCGCCACTCAGATAGTGGTATCACTTTGCCACCTAGCCAATGGGCAGGCACTGCAAGGGATCCCCCTACCAACTGGCATACAGTATAGCCAGATACAGGATAGGCTGAATCTTCTCACAAACTGATCCAGATGAAGACTGATCGTCCCACTCATTGTTCTGAGTTTGGACAGATCCTCTCACCTGAAGTTACAACTGTTGTGATATGTCCTGTTGGCCGTCACCCATTGGCCCCTCAACAGTGGGTCCACTTACAGGCAATTATCTCATTGGATGAGATAGGATTACCTTGGTGTAACCACGGCCTTTGTAGATAGTTGTCATATGTAGTTGCTGCCAGAGCCCTTACTGATTTTGGCATGATGTTCCCACATGTAGCTTGCTAATACCCCAGTAGGTACACCTTAGTTAGAGTGACAAGTGTCCAGCCCTACATGTATATAAGCCCATGAGAATCTAAGGGATGACCTTAGATTCATTATACTATTGTATGCAGCCAGCAGGCCAGCTGCCCCCTTCCACCTTTTGTGCAAGGACATGCATTGGGGCTTTGCCTTGATTGCTGATTGTATGCCACTGTGCGCCATCCTCAGCCTAGCCCTTGTGGCAGGCTTCTTCAGGTTAGCCTTAGGGCAACCTTTTATGTGAATCATTTGTGCAGGTCACACAAACAGACTTGCCCTTAATTGGGTTAAGTGCTTTGTGCTTTGTAACAGCAGATATGGTTGGTCAGCAGTGTGCTCGTCGATGTTGTAATTGCAGTATCAATGACGATAGTGGTTTGTCAGCTTCCTGTAATCAAGTGTAGGATACTCACTAGGAGCTCTGGGTGTACAGATGCTCCAATTGAAGACTGGATTCAAGAAGACTGACACTCTGGTCAACAAGGTCGTGTGACTTGTTGTAGAGACTGGGACTCTAGCTGGTATGATCACAGCATACGTTGTATGCTATTTGACCTCATGGGCATTCAGCGACTTTTGCCATTGTGGATATCACAGTTTGCCTTAGCTATCAAGTGCATTACTTATTTTGAGCACTTCTGTCACATTTTTATGAACATCTTAGGGAACTCTGGTATATACGGTTTTGTAAGCCCACAATCTTGATATGATGCTACACCCTCCTCACTCTTTCATCAAGTGACACACCACTTAATGAGCTGTGCATCACCCACTTATGAACAGATCAGAATTCTTATGCTGACCATTCAAGACAGGTATGCAAACATGTTACTTGCCAATATGCTTAGTCAGGCATTCTTCCAGAGGTCCTGGGAGGAAGACAGTCACATCTCACTCTCCTTTGCTGCTCCTCAAACAATCAGCAGGAGCACGAGTGCAGGTTTCAGTGACTTTGCAGCCATGAACAGAAGTTATGCGCTTGATGGTGCAATGAAGACAAGCAGACCAAGTCAGGATGGTGCTGCGGAATCCACGAGCTTAGATCAGAAAAGTGGAAATGACACGAACTTGCACCTTTGAAGTACCAGGGGGGGATGAGTGTAGCTTGGACATTCATCTGTGATTTATCTGATTCAACGATGCGAATTTGATGCTGGCCATCATGTCACGCAAAAAAATCTCAGACAAGGAGTTGTCATGGCACCACCAGACAAGAGATCAAAAAGACTAAAAAAGGGACAGTCATGTGGAATGTGCTGCCCTGATCCCCCTGATCCCAAATAATCCCCCTGATCTCTATGTGGTGCAAGAGCCTGAGACTTACTAGTCAATGTAGCTGGTGCAGGAAAAGGGTTAGAGATATATCAAGGAGCTGGTAAGCTCAGTGGGTGCTACAGATGGTAGACAAAGAGAAACAATCTGAAGTTTCGTCCTCTACATGGCTGGTCTTATGTACACGTACAGCGGGCTATCTTACCTAAGCTACCTATCTACGGGTATAAGCTAATGGCCGTACATGAAACAATGGAATGTTCAGAAGTAGAACAATAAGTGGGAAGATCGATGGTTGCTGCAGTAATGCGTGTGCACATCGTTCCTATCTTGGTTTCCCTTTTGTTCTCCAGTGTGAACATCGTGCCTCTCTAGGCTTCTGGCTAAACTAATAGGAAGTGGAAGGCCGATGCATAACAATAGTCTTTGTTCCCTTTGTTCCCAAATGGGTGCCTCTATTGTATCCTGGAATAGATAGGTCTGACCATATCATCCGCGGGTCTGGACCATAACATGTGATGTGGACTATTACCTGATCTTCTATGTGTTGCGTCTGTGGCTGAGTGGCATGAGATATTGGTGAAGCACGTGGTCTGTGGTGTGAGAAAAGTCACATGCAGACTTTGTGGTGAAAATCTGTGACACTACCCCCCTCTCAAGGCTCATTGTCTCGAGGAGCCAAAACCTTTATTTCCTCTTTTAGTTGCTCGCAACGGTTGGTAACTTCAGAAGGGAAGCCCCTCAGCATAATATTCGAAGATTATCTCGGCTATCCTGTCTCCTGGCTTGACCGAAAAGATGAAATCTGTTGTGTTAATCAGTACGACCTTGAGTTCTCCAGTGTAATCAGGGTCAACAACTCCTGCGCCCATGTCAATTCCTCATGCAGCAAGTCTGCTGCGTGGAGCTATTCATGTATAGGTGTGTCTGGGAGGGTCAATTGCGACTCCCGTTCCTACCACAGCTCATGAATGCAAAGGAATTTTATGCATTTCTGCTGCATAAATGTCCCATCCTGCTGCTTCATTTGAGGATTTTTTCAGTGATTTGGTGAGATCTGTCATTTTATGATATAGGAAGAACTCGTCCGGGTGGTCAGACATGTTGATATTATGTGTGGATATCAGTGCAACTTCGTATGAGGATAATTTGAAGCATTTTCCACCAAGCGTGACAACCCTGATTGGTGCTTTGGCTGAGTCTGGGTGTTGCTGGTGGAATTCTTGAAGAAGCTCATCGACATTGGTAAGATTTGTTTGGGGTTCCCATGTATCATCGGAATGGTCATAGCCTTTCCATTTGACGAGGTATTGGACCCTTCCCCTTACGACCTTCGAGTCTAGTATTTCTTTAACTTCAAATTCTGGTTCTCCTTCGATTTCTATGGCTGGGGGCTTTGGGGGTACATGGTGTGTGACCGTGTCTTGATGGTACATGATCAACTTGCTAGCATGGAAGACCGGGTGTACCTTCATTTGCTTGGGCAATTCCAGTTTGAACGTGACTGGGCCTAGCTTCTGAAGTACTTTGTAAGGTCCGAAGTTTTGTGTGCCTAGCTTCACGGATTTGACTTTTACTCTGAGGTCTTTTCCCTTGAGTAGTACTAGGTCTCCGACTTTGAATGGGACTTCTCCCTTTTTCTCATCGAAGTACCATTTCATCCGTGAAGCCAAAACTTCCAATGCTGCCTTTGCCTGTTCTTGTGCCTCGGTTCGGTGGGCAAATAAATGTTCCAATGAGGGGTGACATATTGATTCGTGGACGTCTCATGCCATTTTTGGGTGTCGGCCATATTCGATGAAGAATGGGGAAAGTGCGGTGGACTCATGGGTCTGGTTGTTGTATGAGAATTCTGCTGTTGGCAGATAGTAGACCCAATCATTTTGTCTGTGGTTGCAGTACATGCGGAGGTACTGTTCCAACACCTGGTTAACCCTTTCCGTCTGACCATCTGTTTGGGGATGGTATGCTGTAGACATTGTTGACTTTATACTGAGCTTCTGACAAAACTCCTGAAATAGTTTGCTCGCAAACTGAGTACCTCTGTCTGAGATAATCTGGCGTGGCAATTCGTGGAGTTTGAAGACTTCATTATAGAATACATTAGTGACTTGCGACGATGTGACTGTGTCATCCATTGCATAAAAGTGCGCTCACTTCGTGAGTCTGTCTACGACGACAAGTATTGTCATCTTCTTTTCTCCCCTAAAGTCCATGGCTGTAGGAAGTTGTGTGATGAGATCTACTGTGATGATCTTCCATGGTCCTCCTGGTACCTCATTTGGTTGTAGTAGTCCGTATGGTTTTTCCCTTGAGTACTTGTTGCGTTGACAACTGTCGCAACCTTGTACGTATTGTTTAACCATTACAGACATTCCTAGCCACCAATAGTTCCAAGTAATGAGCTCTAATGTTTTAAACCTGCCTGGGTGTCTGGCTGGTAATGTGTCATAATGGAGCTTTATTAGGTTGAGGCATAGCTGTTGATCTTTGGGGACATAAACCTTTCCACGATGGAGCAGCAATCTGTGCTCAAAGTTCCATTCTGCGAGATTTTCCCAAATTTGCGCTGTCCTGTAGTCAAAAGTGCACAATAATTCTTGGTCATCGTGTCATCTGTGAGTGCCTTCTTGATCCTTTCCAGTAGTTAAGCATCATCAACTTCAGATGCGTGAGCGGGTCGAATCACATTGATAGCGAAAAATTCAGGTTTTAACAGCATTTGGTTCGAATTGTCACTGTCTACCCCCCTCTCATGGTCTGGCCTCCTGGACAGAGGATCAGCACAAAGCATTGTGTTTCCAGGTCAGTGACTGAGTACAAAATTGAATCATGTGAGGAATAATGACCAGCGTGCTTGGCGCCAGGATAATTTCTGTGTCTGACGGAAGTATGTAAGGTTGAGATGGTCTGACCAAATCTCAATGAGTTCTGGGTATCCTTCTAAGTAGTGCCAGTATTCTTCTAGTGCCTGAATAATTGCAAGCATTTCCTTGTCATAAATCTCGTAGTTTCTCTTATGTTCATTGAGTGACTTTGAGTAGTATGCGACTGGATGCTATAGCTTGTCTTCTCCCAGTTGTTCAAGTACTGCACCAGTTGCATAGTCTGAGGAATCAGTCTCCAGATGATATGGTGCAGTGTCGTTGAGGAGTTGTAAGATTTGGGCTGAGGTGAACGCCATTTTGAGTGCACTGAAGGCTTGGTCTTGCTCTTCCTTCCATTGTGTCACAGATTTTCGCCACAAAGTCCGCACATGACTTTTCTCACACCACAGATCACGTGCTTCACCAATATCTCATGCCACTCAGCCACAGATGCAACACGTAGAAGATCAGGTAATAGTCCACATCACATGTTATGGTCCAGACCCGCGGATGATATGGTCAGACCTATCTATTCCAGGATACAATAGAGGCACCCATTTGGGAACAAAGGGAACAAAGACTATTGTTATGCATCGGCCTTCCACTTCCTATTAGTTTAGCCAGAAGCCTAGAGAGGCACGATGTTCACACTGGAGAACAAAAGGGAAACCAAGATAGGAACGATGTGCACACGCATTACTGCAGCAACCATCGATCTTCCCACTTATTGTTCTACTTCTGAACATTCCATTGTTTCATGTACGGCCATTAGCTTATACCCGTAGATAGGTAGCTTAGGTAAGATAGCCCGCTGTACGTGTATATAAGACCAGCCATGTAGAGGACGAAACTTCAGATTGTTTCTCCTCGTCTACTATTGTAGCACCCTACTGAGCTTACCAGCTCCATCATATATCTTTCACCCTTTCCTGCATCAGCCACCTTGACTATAAGTCTCAGGCTCTTGCGCCACATAAGGTAGGGGGATTTCTTGGGATCAGGGAGATCAGGGCGGCACATTCCACGTGACTGTCCCTTTTTAGTCTTTTTGATCTCTTGTCCGGTGTTGCCATGACACATTGCCAGGGCACGTCCTTGCAGGTGAGAAGCATTAAAGGTCGTGCAAGCTTTGCAAATTCCTTTATAAATCACCTGTAGAAATTCGCGAATCCTAAAAAGGCCTGTACTTGTTTGACCTTAGTAGGTGCGGGCCAGCCAAGTACACCTTCGACTTTAGCATGGTCCATCTGTACTGAGTTCTTGCTGATGACCATGCCAAGATACTTGATTAAGGATTGTTCAAAGAAGCATTTTTCCGGTTTGGCATATAAGTCATTGTCCCAGAGGCGCTGTAGAGCTGCTTTTACTAGTCGTCGGTGTTCTTTGAGATCATCCGTAAATATGAGGATGTCGTCTAAGTAGACTACCACCTTTCCAGTGTGAATTAAGTCTTCAAGGACTGTATTCATCATTGTTGAGAAGGTGCTAGGAGCATTGCAGAAACCAAAGTACATTATGGTGGCTGTCACAAAGCACAAAGCACTTAACCCAATTAAGGGCAAGTCTGCTTGTGTGACCTGCACAAATAAATCCACAACATAAAAGCCTGCCACAAGGGCTAGGCTGAGGATGGCGCACAGTGGCATACAACCAGCAATCAAGGCAAAGCCCCAATGCATGGCCTTGCACAAAAGGTGAAAAGGGGGGAGCTGGCCTGCTGGCCGCATACAATAGTATAATGAATCTAAGGTTCTCCCTTAGATCCTCATGGGCTTATATACATGTAGGGCAGGGCCCCTGGCACTGTGCTACTGTGAGACCTCAGATACCTACATGTGAATATATTGCCAGAACTGGTAATGATTCTGGACTTCGTCATAGCAACTATCTACAATGGCCGTGGATACGCTAAGGTAATCCTATCTAATCCAATGAGATAAATGCCTGTAAGTGGGCCCACTGTTGAGGGGCCAATGGGTGATGGCCAACAG